TATGTTACCTAGTAAAAGTATGCTTTCTAAATCTAGTCCATTGTCAGATAGAACTTAAATTTTCGACTGATATAAGATATTTAATAGACATGATTATCGCTAGAGTCGACTTTTGTTACCTAGTAAAAGTATGAAGCTAAAATTGGCTTATGTTACCTAGTAAAAGTATGCTTTCTAAATCTAGTCCATTGTCAGAATGTCAGATGGAACTTAAATTTGTACTTTTAGGAAATGAGTAAAAATAGGTTGAAAATTGAAACGGCCACTTGCTTTAACGAGTGAGCTCAGAGAAATTCAAATCCAAGTTATATTCCATGAAAGATATCCGCCAAAAAAATCTGCGATGGCAATAAATCAAATCTCATCGCTAAAGATCACTTTCCCAGACATTCGATACGCCTGCTTCTTGTTTGTTAAAATCGCAAGTTCTCAGAACCGTATGAATATACCTTACAAGACATTTTCATAACGTACGAAATGCGACGGTTTTCCCGAAATTTCGCCATATTTTCGGACCGCCAAAATTTCGGTCGTCGTAATAGAATCCGTCGCATTATTTTTAGCTTATTCCAATAATTGTGGCTTCATCGATTCATTTTGTTCTTGAAAAGTTAGTGATATGATGGTGGGACAAATAAACACAATATTCCATGATGGATTTAATGTCAAGTAATACGTTTTAAATTTACAATAAATTACATTTATGTGCTAACATAAACGTCTTATAAGCGACTAAGTCAAGATAAACAATTTAATATCAAACTCAATAAGTGAAACTGAAAGAGTCGAGCCGGACTCCTTAGAGGAAGATGAAGAAATCGATTTATAAGTTTCATTTTGTTTCAACATGATTTTACCGATTTTTAGAAAATTTTGAATTTCCTTTGTGTCAGAAAACAAAATGATGAAAAATACCCTTATTTTCTGTGACGTCCGAAATGTGACGGTTTTTGTTCAATTTCGCCAAATTTTCGGACCGCCAAAATTTCGGTCGTCGCAAATTGGTCCGCCACAAAAATGTCTTGTAAGGTAAGCGAAGACATAATTTGTCTGAAAATGGTCGTAGGCGTAGCGTATACAGTGGTGTATGATTGGACGGGACTTTTAACGTGTAGCTATTTTATCCCGTCGAAACGTTATGGCGACCCAGGATCGTTGAGATTTGCCGTCGAAAAAATGTCTAAATGGTTAAAATATGGCTTTGCTGAGATTACCTTACCTGAGGACCCAGGCTATTATAATCATATTTATGTTCGGCAAAATGACAGGCTGAGCGCCGCCCAGCAAAGATTACTATTTACTATTAACACTGTGATTATAGTTATTTAGAATATATATTCGCATTTATCCACACTATATTTACATTACACGTACAACGTGATATCGTTATCAGTGCAGTGTGTACAACACCAACTACACCGATCAATAGCCAATCTGCGAAACATTTTAATTATTATTATCACTTCGAGATGGCCAGGCCTACTCTCGTGCTGTCTATATGTGATGATTAACTCTGAAAAACTAGGGACAACTGGGGAATGATCCCAGAACCTCGAGATTTCGCGTCTCTTGCTCTACCAATCGAGGTTCTGGGATCATTCCCCAGTTGTCCCTAGTTTTTCAGAGTTAATCATCACATATAGACAGCACGAGAGTAGGCCTGGCCATCTCGAAGTGATAATAATAATTAAAATGTTTCGCAGATTGGCTATTGATCGGTGTAGTTGGTGTTGTACACACTGCACTGATAACGATATCACGTTGTACGTGTAATGTAAATATAGTGTGGATAAATGCGAATATATATTCTAAATAACTGATAAATGATATTCCACACAAAGCATGAAATTGTGCTGTATATGAGTGGTGATTTCGCTCTGAGAATCAGGGTCAGTAGCTCAATTGGTAGAGCAAGAGACGCGAAATCTCGAGGTTCTGGGATCATTCCCCAGTTGTCCCTAGTTTTTCAGAGTTAATCATCACATATAGACAGCACGAGAGTAGGCCTGGCCATCTCGAAGTGACTGTGATTATAATAGAGTAAATTAATCAAATTTATTATTTACATAATTTCCCCCAATCATCTGAAAGAATTCAATTAGTAGAGTCCATGCAGTGAATAGTGATATTGCATTTTATCAATATTTTCGGTAATAAGGGAATTCTTGAACACGAAAAATACTATAACTATCATATATTTCGTAAGGCAATACAAATAAGTATCGATGTTAATGCTATAAATAAGTATTTAGTTTAATTGCCATGAGTTTCCTCAACGGCAACCCCCAGACTTCCTTCATGCTGCACTAGACTCCGTCACGCCTCAAAATATTTGCAAGATTCTCGATAGTATATTGCAAAATTTCTGTCTCCAACAATTTGATGATCTTATAACAACTTAAGCATTGAAATTTCGTATGAAAGTACTTCCTCGCAATATTAAGTTTTGTTAATCATAATGAGGAATTAGTCGCGACAGCAGCAGCTCTTCAAGAAGAATAATGGTTAAATACTTTGTAGACGTTTAATCTTAAATGCTCTCGCTGGTGCTTCCTCAAATGATGTAGCTTTGAACCGTACCTACAATTCTTTCATAGCCAAGCTGCCACACCAAACGATTCAGTCTTTTAAAAGATTTGAAATGGAACCATGAATATCACATGGTGTGTGCATCAATGACTCTATTTTTAAAATAATAATGACCTCATGCACTACTACTGACGGTCATGAATTCATTGTTCAACTATAATGAATAAAGTTTTACGTCACACTATCAATATCATGTAGTGACCTCAATTTCTAGATCTATGACCGGTTCTTGATTATTTTACCGCCGAGAAACCATACCGTTTCTTTCAGCAAATTAGCTGGTATTAGAATATCAATCGTAGCAACATCTCAGTCAAGTCGGAGGGCATTTAATAAACCATCTTCCTCATACTTAAGTGCTTTAAACGTTTAGCTGTCACAAATGCTATAAGATTGCGATCTCGGTGGCACCCCGCTGCGTGTCCTATTACGAGATATCAGCGATTAATCCAGTAATCGTGCTTCTGATTGGCTCAATCTGACAGTTCGTTAAAAAGCTTAAATGCTCTTGCTGTTGCCTTGTCAAATTGCCGACACGAAGCCTGCCATTGGCGCAGCACGGATCACGCGTGCCTGCTCTTGCTGGTGAGCGTGGGGAGTTGTCGTATGGGATGCGACGTCGCGTACACTATATAAACTGTGAACCCTACCAGTCACAATCTACAACGCACCAGTAGCCCCCTAGTGAGCCACTGGTTCTTGAGACGACGCTCTCTCCCCCGAGAGGCCTCTCTCTCGTACCAGGACCCCACTGTGCTACGGTATCAGCCGTGCTAGTCTGCATGGTGGCATCCGGGCGTTAAGGTTAGGTTTCATCGATGTCGGTAACCGTAAGGTCGTTTTGTGGCTAACAGCTTCAATATAAATTGTGCTTAACCGAAAACAGTACGCTCTCATTTTATACGTACACCCAAGCCCCCCCCCCCCCCCCCCCCCCCCCCCCCCCCGATGTTAGGATACATCTTTAGTTAGTTTTTTATGTTTTAGCAAGAGAGCAATCATATTTTTCACATTCACTACTGATGCAAGTAACAACATATCATCTATTAATCATTCTAGATCAATCATATTATAAAACGAGGTCATGTATGTAGAAAATTTCATCTGTAGAGTAAATTTTCACAACCTGTAATTCATCCAATTCCAAATACATCGAAACTAGTTGTTCTGAATAAGCCAGGGAATACATTTTTGATCTCTTTCCCAGCGACTAGGACTACTTTTCCCATCATCTTCCGAAAACTTAATAAATTCATCTTTACTTCACGTATCCCTATAATTATATACACCAATTTTAAAGCTCCTTTATTCGAGAAATTGCGCAAAGGATCAGAATTGTCCTATCCACAGATGCATGCTGCTCAGTGCTCAATCCATTTCATCAGTTCCACTCCAAACAATGTGGCCGATCCCAGAAGTTTTAAAAATTTGCGGTTTCTCTTATTAACTCTTGAATACTGATTTTTGTCATTATTCGGTGTCCCGTCTCAAAGAAATTTTTGTCATTGACTTCTCGATCGTCGGCAGATTAATATTGCACAAAATAATATAACAAAAAAGCTGGCAACGCTCCATACCACGAACATTGCACTCGTCAATATCAAGTAATCGGCTTTTGTCTGGATATTAATTCACAGCTCCCACTTAGTCTTACCATTCAACACAATGTTGTATAACCAATATTCTGATTATTGCACTATACCTGATCAACCCTGGCATAAAGGATGGTTTGTGGTGGGACATGAATGAAACTCGAAAAATACTCAAAGCACCGCAGCTGATGATAATAGCCTGCAGGCTCTAACAGGAGTCCAATCTAATTTCTATTGCGGTCGAGGCACCCTGCTTATATTTCAGTAATCCCGACTCTTCCTTCACACTTCAGCTTAGAGCAATAAAATACACGTATAAATGCGGTTTCAAGGAAAGTGTGGTTTCAAGGCCCAATTTCGTCGTCCGACCTTGGGCTTGACTACTTGTAACTGATCCACTTCAGTCCTGTTCTGAACCGTGCAGTGAACGTAATATATTTTCAAAATTGATAGAAAATATCAAAGTTCCGCACCCGCGCCGTTTATTAATTTTGCAGCATCACCATTGGGAATGGAGGTTATGGAATTTGGAATGGGAGGCTATCAAATTAATTTTGAATCCTACAAAATTTTAGCGTTAATAAGGATCTTTACTGATTGTGGAAAAGCAAAGACAAAAATATAAAAAGATTTGTTGTATCTATTATATTATATTGTTTTGCAAATAAAACTATAATTATAAATATTACTAAAATTTTCATTCTAATCGTCTTTATTCGGTCCAATAATATAAAAATCCTTACTAGTAACACAGATACTATTACGGATTTACATTTGTTGTTTATTGTGTAAATCCCTTTCTAAACCTTGCTATTTTCTCAGGATGAAACTCACAGCAGGAATATTCCTAGTCCTCGCGTGCTTGTCGTGAGTGTTTTTATTATAATTCAACCACAATATACAATATAGGATGTAGAAATTGGTTGTCATGCGTGTGGCAGAAAGTAAAATAATAGTCAATCTCTGATATGACAACTTAATTACTAGTACTAGTTATTATATTCATAATATACCCTGCCCCCTATGGCTAGCTACTAAATGCTCGCTCTAGCTTTAAAAGCTCGAAGAACTTCGGGCACGTCAATTTGTCAATGTCATAATAAAACTTTCACGAAGCTATGAAACTTTTACAACTGTTTAATTTTCTCTTGATACTGCCAACATAAATATTAAATAAGCTGTGGATCAGTCCTACAGAGTGTTTTGATGCACCAGCAGTTTAATGTTTTTCTATATTATCAGTATCCCAGAAACATTAACAATTTCAATTTCAGGGTAGTTATGTTACCGGGTGAAAGTGCATCGCTCGGCAGCTTAGAAGCTCTAAATTCAGGTACTACCTTCTTAACTACTAAAAGTAAAACTTATTGACTTAAATTAAAATAATATGTATCAATTATAACGTATAACTAGTATTAGTAACTATACAATTGTTGATGTTCTTTGTGAATCGTACCTACACTGGTCTTAGGTATAAGCATTAATATAATACAATGACGCTGCCATATAGCTTGGTATTACAACGCTTGGTATTTCACAACGCTAGCTTGGTATTATAACGCGACGCTAGCTTGGTATTTCACAACGCTAGCTTGGTATTATAACGCGACGCTAGCTTGGTATTTCACAACGCTAGCTTGGTATTATAACGCGACGCTAGCTTGGTATTTCACAACGCTAGCTTGGTATTATAACGCGACGCTAGCTTGGTATTTCACAACTAAAACCACTTGCCGGTGTGGTAGGGGGTGGTTAAGACTAGGTTATAGCGTTATCAGTCAAACAGAAGTAATACTTCAAGTATGCGAGAGCACATCATTTTGCCAGCTTGAGCCGATTAGATCGCTTATTGGCGGTAAAGGGAGGTATTATTTCGACAAATAGCCAACATTGTGGCTGGTTACTTAATACTTGACCAAATAATATCTTAACTAATTAAAAATCTTCCTGCAGAATCGAATGCGATGCTCTACGGTGCTGATCATGAGATCCAGGAATCATCTCTGATTAACAGAAAGGAGGAGGCCGAAGGTATTTAGAATTTATATCTTGTTGGATGTGTTCTCACTTTCACTTATATGAAAAAAAGATGTTGAGCTGAGATCAGACTAATTTTTATTCAGACTAGATTACCGACATCTCGGTTACGTTTTTGAAGCAAATCTTTGTTTCTCATTAACTCAATGTAACTACCAAATATTTCCTTACTGCAGGTGCGTTATACGGTTAAATTCTCACTCCACTCCCGATGCCACACAGTCACATGAAGCCTCGCCATGGACCACAACCTAGACCACCAAACTACCCCTTCATCAGCTGGGGGTCCTGAACTCCAAGTTTAACACTTGTGGGATACCTCGGGTCTTTATCCTCATACCGCTGTATCAATAACAATGTATTTTTTGTTAAACAACCAACGTCCGAATCTGTCTGAGATTCAATCTCTTCGGGTCGGCTTTTTCACGTTTTTGAGTTTTGGAAGATGTTTGGTGATCACATGACCAGTTGACTGTGCTGGAATCGGTCTGGGTTCGTCCCAACCTGGGTTGTTAGAAGTATCCATTTTTTGATCAACTTGGATCAATAGTGTCGTTATCTAATTTTATCGATTTTTAATTTTGCAAACCCTGAATTGTTTGTTTTTATTATCTACCCCACCGTACAAGAATTGCAGCTTGAGAAAGTAAAACATTTGATTTTATCAATAAAAGTAAAATCATTCCCCTCTCTAAGGGTTCTATGCCCGTTCTATCTTGAATTTAAGATAGCTTCATCTCACCGAACCTGATGCGCTATGTGAATGTCCATGAGTATCATCTATATGAAGGAGATTGTGCATTATGTACCTTACTCAAAAGGGCATGTAAATCTAAATGTTGATACTCATCACCATCATTTTCACAGCATATTAGAACATATGTAATGTGCTGACTTAAGAGTAGTTGTACCACCAGTGATTCAGCTGTATATTCGAATCTAATTCTGCCAATCGCCAAGAATCTTTTGATCGGCAATCACATTCAAATTTTAGCTGGTATTGAATTTTATTTTCCGAGATAAGTCTCTGAAAGGTTGTACCACCAGTGATTCAGCTGTATATTCGAATCTAATTCTGCCAATCGCCAAGAATCTTTTGATCGGCAATCGCTTGCCGAGGTAATCGTACTGTAGTGCGACACGTACTCTAGTGCGAAGTCCGACAAAAACACCCTCTGTCGCACTACAGTACGTGTCGCACTACGATCCAGGTAGCGTACTCTAGTGCGACAAAATATCCTGTTTCATTTCCAAGTTCAGGTTATATCTTATCCTTCTTATAATGGACCATTAAGTGATTCGTCGGGTCGGTTCACCTCACTTATTTCGAAGTGATCTTGTGGACCCGATTCGTCGGTGTACGGGTACGGTGTATTTCGAAGTGATCCACTGATCATACTTCCTTCGGGTCAGTTCAAGCCACGTATAATGCAGTATGTGATCCACTGAGTCACTCGTAAGCAGCATTGAGCATATGATCCTAATACCTATCACACCCATCGTATGAAGGTATATCTCCGATTGGGATAACAAGTTCTCTTGCATTTGGAGTCGAACCTCAATCTGTCATGAGTGACTACGAGAGAGCCCTGATCAACGCTGTGGAGACAACCTGGCCCACTACTACCAAGAGAGGCTGTTTCTTCCACCACAAGCAAACACTTTGGAGGAAGATGCAGCAGCATGACCTAGTCCCGGAATACAACGCGCTCAGAGAACTCAGCAGTACGGAATTCCTTTAGATGATCGGTTCAGATAACCAACATTGCTGAGGGTTGGCACAACGGTTTTCGATCCTTAAGGGACTGCACCAACCCTACTATCTAGCGATTTATCGACGTCCTGAAGAAGGAGCAGGATCTAACCCAGTGGAAGATCAACCAGAAGATGCTCAGACAACCACCTCCTCGCCGATGCATAGTAAACAATGTATTGCAATGCCAAATTTTTATTGAATATGTAAAGATTTTGTCGCACTTTAGTTCGTGTCGCACTACAGTACAGGTAGCGTACTGTAGTGCGACAGTGTCGGCCTTGAAAATTCTCTGTCGCAGTTCGCACTACGGTACGTGTCGCACTACAATCCAGGTAGCGTACTTTAGTGCGACAGTGTCGATCTTGAAGGTTTCGCACTAGGGTACGTGTCGCACTAAAGTACATGTCGCACTACAGTACGGGACCCGCTTGCCGAGCAGATTACAGGAATGTAAATTGGAACATGCTCAAAGCTCAAAGCTCAATGACATGTTAGTTAGTACTTACCGATAAACTGGACAAAGAATACAACAAAATTTTCCAAATCTATTAAGTTCTTTAAAATCATTCACAATAAAAATCTGGCACATCCAGCTACGATCGTGGATCAAAAATTCTTTTAAAATCTAATGTAACTACATTCAATAGCTAAATTGAATTTTGGGGGGTAGTTAATTTTGAGTAAGTTCATACACATAAATACAATTCTGAAATACTACAAAACCATAACTAATCATCAAAACTTAACAAATCATTTACTCATGACTCATCCTCATTGAGTTGAGGCTTGGAGGAAAATGCCAGAAAATTGTAAGGTTCAAATTCAGCGGTGTTGGAATAATTACCAGTGTCCACACTATATATCTCTAAGATAAAACTCAATTTGCAGGGGTTTCCCACAAGTGTCCCACTTTTTCCTTGTCACCCAAAGGTTTGATAGCAAGTTTAGCTAAAGCAGAGTGAGGAGTGAAGTAAAGAGAAAACTTCCCGTCTTTCCCGTCTTTGAGAACGGGAATTGCGTTACACTCCCGGGACCAGGACAGAGAATGATGAGGACCAGGTTGGAAAACTTTCTTCTCATTTCCCTCACTTCTAGGATAGTTCACCACATCAACAGCAGGTATTGGAGACAGTCTAAAAGGCGCAGTTGACAAAGACAATTTGGCGGGAGGATCTTTGAGAATACTGCCGGATTTGTCCTGTTGAGAAGCCGCCCCGGGGCCCCTACTCTTCAGCTCAACTGCAGCACCGGTCCTGTGCACTGCGAATCTCTCGTTATCTACCACCAGTTTACTCCTCCACTTCTCTTCTTCTTCGGAAGTGTACTGTTGGAGCTCCTCGGCTCGTCTTTTGCCAGGCATGTGTATCGTTACCGGGTGACTGGGGGTTGGAAGTCTTTTCGGAGTAGCAAAGTCTCTGCCTCTCTCATTCCACGAGAAGGTCTTCCAGTCGACAGTTGGTTTTAGTTTTCCAGCGTGTAAAACATTCTCCTCCCAAGGTTCTCTAAGTTGCTCGACTCTAGTGTAGTGTGGGATAGAGCTGTGTTGGTTAGACTGTAACGCGGATCTGTGAGCAGGGAACAGGAAACCCTCCTGGGTCCTCCACACTTCCTTCTTCTGCTCTTTCTCTTTTTCAGTCTCCTCTTGTACGCAACGAGGGGAGACTGTTTGACATGCGTACTCCTGAGAGTAGGTGAACCTCTCACTGGGCCTCTCCGCCAGGATCCCTCTTATCTTTCTCTTGGCCAGCTCTGTTGAATTTTTGGTAGATGTGCTGTAGTTGTGCCCGGCGGTCTCATCACATGCTATCCTGACAGTTTTGACATTCTTCTTCGAGTTAAGTTCTGATTTTGCCCTCACTTTCTCGACGTTGTGATACAAGAAGTTCACAGATGCTCGGACAGGTTTGTCGATGTAGTTCAGGTTATAGTTATCTATAGGAGTCCAAGATCCTGCTAATCTCTTTGGTTCTGATTGCAAGGTTTCTATGGTCGCTTTAGATTGTATAGTCTCTCGAAGTTGTTTTGGAGTTTTCTTGAGGTGAAGAAGAGAATGTGGCACTCCAAATTCCATTGAGACCAACTTTATCTGAAAAACACGTTGATAAATGAAAATAATTCGATATTATTTCGTAAATTTACCGCAAAAATAAAAACTGCTGTATTATGGATAATACCAACACTGACAACATAATGTACAAAGAATTTATATCAGGTGTGATCAAACTTTGAATAAAAGTCCTTAAATACACTTACCATATTTCCTGTGGGAAATGAGTTGTTTCTTGAGCAGCTGAGAAGAAGGTTAGCAGCCCTCAAGTCACTAAGACAGATCAGACCATCATATGCCTCTCTAGACACTGAACCTCTCACGTAGAGAGAGGGATGTTTCACCAGGGATACCAGTGGTTCAAAGAGTTTCACTTTCATTATGTCAGGGGATAGGAGGGAATAGAGCCGTTCGGAGAACTTCAGTTCAGAATTGTATAGAACCTGAAATAATGTTAGATTCTATTTAATGAACTTTCGGTCCGATTTAATGACAAAACCGGGTTTTTTGGTTAAAATCGTGGAGAATGCATTATTATGCTGTATATTTTACTTTCCAGCACTAAGGAACACTGGTAGCACTACTGCCAAGAATACTTTTCCCAAATATGAGAGGATCTTTTACATGCCGAGGATCACACTCCGCAAAATTCTGAATATTTGTGAATTTCCAAAATTGGAATTGGGATTTAACGGCTATATCTGCCTATCACCACAATCTACATACCTTAAAATCATCGTGAGTTTTAGGGTTTTCCTCCCATATTCTGGCTATAGATCCACGAGCTGTTCCTTCTAGCACCAGGAGGTGTTGTTGTCCATCCAGCATATGGAAACCTGTTATGTAGTCCAGGATGGAACTCCGCAGCTGAGGGGACAACAAAATTCAATGTTTTAGGAATGTCAAATAAAATACTAGGGCACAGAATTTTCATATTTTTCATCAAGATTGCATGATTCATCGTAGAAATCTGCTGTGGAGCGATGACTTATTGAGAAATATTGATAAACGTTAAGACCAACAAGATTCACATCACATGCCTGAGTCTTAGTTAGTTTGTAGGTGGACAAAGCAGAACTGTACATCTCTTTCGGAAGATTATCCAGATTGAATATCTTAACGTTTGTCTCGAGAACTTGTTCTATTATTTTGTCTAAGAACTCTGATTTGCTGGCAGGCATCGAGTACACAATTCTCTCAAACGGACAGTCTATCTCCTCGGTGTCTGCAAAACAAAACGATCATATATTTGTAATCTTATGGTTGCACTATAATTAACTGCATGATTACAGTTTCTTACAACACGTTACAATATGTCTGGAAATGCAGGAAGAATAATTTTAATCTCCAATTGGGTAAATAGTGTTACAAACCTGCAGTCAAGGTTGGATTAGTGAGTTTGAGGTAGTTAGTGTGCTCCACAAGAGGGTGAGCTAAGGACAACTCAACTGTTATCACAGTGGCACTCTCTATATACCTGCGGAAATGTGTGACGTCACGTGAGGGGAAGGTGTGACGTCACGTGAGGGAAAGGTGTGACGTGTGACGTCACGTGAAGGAAGGTGTGACGTCACGTGAGGGAAGGTGTGACGTCACGTGAGGGAATGTGTGAAGTCACGTGAGGGAAGGTGTGACGTCACGTGAGGGAAATGTGTGACGTCACGTGAGGGAAAGGTGTGACGTCACGTGAGGGAAATTTGTGACGTCACGTGAGGGAAAGGTGTGACGTCACGTGAGGGAAAGGTGTGAAGGAAGGTGTGACGTCACGTGAGGGAAGGTGTGACGTCACGTGAGGGAAGGTGTGACGTCACGTGAGGGAAGGTGTGAAGTCACGTGAGGGAAGGTGTGAGACGTCACGTGAGGGAAGGTGTGACGTCACGTGAGGGAAGGTGTGACGTCACGTGAGGGAAGGTGTGACGTCACGTGAGGGAAGGTGTGACGTCACGTGAGGGAAAAGTGTGACGTCACGTGAGGGAAAGGTGTGACGTCACGTGAGTAAATGTGTGACGTCACGTGAGGAAAGGTGTGACGTCACGTGAGGTAAGTGACGTCACGTAAGGGAAGGTGTGACGTAACGTGAGGGAAGGCGTGACGTCACGTGAGGGAAGGTGTGACGTCACGTGAGGAAATGTGTGACGTCACGTGAGGGAAGGTGTGACGTCACGTGAGGGAAAGGTGTGACGTCACGTGAGGGAAGGTGTGACGTCACGTGTGGAAATTTGTGACGTCACGTGAGGGAAAGGTGTGACGTCACGTGAGGGGAGTTTATGACGTCATGTTTAACCAACAAAGAAAAAACAGCTCAATGGAATCCCAGGATCTTTATGGCTTTTCGTTAAATTGTGTCGGAACTGGCCACGGCCATCATTTTCAACTCAGCCACTTTTTACTTATAGAACGTAGAGTTAAGCTGACTTGATGTCTTAATGAACCGGATGTTGCGATTCACTCAGTGATGGGACTCATGGGTGTACAAATACCAATACTACAAAAGTACAGATCAAAATGTATTTTTGACATTTTTCATGACGAGCAGTCAAGGCCAGGGCAAGACCAATTTCGTCACCTTAGAAAATTACCAAATATAGTTTAATAAAATTAAATCAAATATTTCGTCAACAGTATCGCACAGCATGAATTTAACTTGATCTAATCACCATTCTAGGATAAAAGTAAACAAATTTATATTTACTAAAACAAAACAATTAGCTATAAGAAACTTGTGAACGATTTTAAAATAATGAAATGTTCTGCAATTATTGGTAATATTGAAAAATTTTGCATACTGAATAAAAAGAATAGGAAATTATAAGAAAAACACATCTAAAAATTTCAAAATCAAAGAACACATTGAAAAAAAAAACAGTAAAGCGCTATAAATTGAACACTGATACATAATTTATGTAATCAGTAATACAGTTTCATTTTTATGCATAAGAATTTTACAAAAGTGTATCATTAAACAGGCGTATCCACAATATCTGGGAAGTTTTGCTCTATCTCCTCTTGTAACTGCAATTCTTGAAGCCCTGCAGCCGGAGTTTGGGCATCATCACCGTGTACTTCTGGAGGATCTTGCCTTGGATTGGATCTTTGTCTTGGATATGGTCTCTGTCGTTAAAGGGCCACTGGTCTATGATGGGGTTGTCGGCCACCTTGCAGTCTTATTAAGGAAAGGAATTCAGATGTCTTCACTTTAAGAAATGTCTAAAACTTCGTATAGTAAGGGCGTACACACAAAAATTGGCCAGTATATTCAGGTTAGTGAGATGAATCATTACTCGAACGGAAGTGCTGCTGTATTCAACTCCCCCGAAATAAGTCACTAAACACACAGTTAAAGGCAGGTAAGATAGAAAGAATACTCCGACAGTGAGCAGAACTGTGGTCACACCCTCCCATCTCATTGTTTCTCCGTGCCGGGAGGCAGCTTTACTAGCCACGATCAGCAGAAGAACCGATGTAAGGATGAGTATGGTGCAGGAGAGGATACTTAACGCAGCAATACTGATAGGAAAGTACCATGTTAACCAAGATGGCACACTGACTGAGAGGCGATCATAATCACAACTATATTCTTTGTAGCTAAAGTGTATTGTGTCTCTGATGTAAAGCAGGTTCACTACTAGAAATGGAGTGTACCAACAAAGCGCTAGGAGCCACAATGAAGCACAGATTTTATGTCCTAACTGTGTGGACCAGGCACCAGTTTTCAGAGGATACTTCACTATTATCAGCTTCAGAGTGGTCATAGCACATGTCAGTAACACTGTCACTGGAACACAAGCCCAGCAAACGTTTTCCTCCACATGACAGAGCAGCTCCCCCACAATCCACCGATCTGATATTAATGCCAGAGTCACAGGGATTACTCTACATACAGTTTGTATCAAGTCACAAACAGCCATGTGCTGCATCACCGTTATTATCACTTTCTGGAGATTGATGGCTTTATATTTGATAGTCGCTATCAAAATTATACTGTCCCCTATAAGCGACAACAGAAGAACCATAAAGTTCCACAATATGAGAAGTGACCGCTCCGCATCATCTTTGATAGCATATAGTGTTCTGTCGCTCGTTTGCATTTTCAGCAGTATTTAGTCTGGTCATTAGAAGACTGTTTCGTTAACAGAATAGAATATTATTTGCCCGCTTTCATTAAAAATAAATTTCAACAGTTCACTGAGGCAGTGTAAAATTGTATTGTTCATTAAAACCAGATTCCAAAGACACTAAGACAGCGTTAAAAAATTCCAAATTTGCTATAAAAAAATAAACACGCAACCGAAAATGCTGTCTAAAAATACCACCTCCCATAGTTCTCAAAAAACTTCTTAGCTACTCAATTTTACGTTATTTACACCTTCATCATCCATTTTTTTCCCTATATTTGCGTATCAAATATCAAAATGCAAACTATTTTTATTTCCATATTTATATTTTTCAGGAAATCAGATAAGCTGACAGAACCACAGAAAGGAAAAATCACAAAAGTAAGCTTAATTTAATAATCCTCACGCAATCACATGATACACTCCCAGTTCTGCTCTCCCACAGGCTGCTTAATTATCTCAAGCTCAAGTTGATAGGCGTGAGACTGATATTATCTCTGAGAAGTTTGTAGGACTAAATCTACTCTCTCAGAAGTTCACATGGTTTGCCATTGAATTATATACTTCCTAACTTTGAGTAGTTCTTTCTTAATTAGGTGTACAACTTTTTGATAACACAAATTGGTTTAAAAATATACAAAAATTAAATGTCAAAATGTGCTCGCAAAACTTTGAAACGATGACACCCTGCAATTAAGGTTAACAAATTGACGGCGCTTCGATTTAATCTACCGGGTTATGTGATCTTATCATGAACCATTCACAGTTCTACAGTATGAACGCTAGAATTCGGCAAAATGTTCTTGCAGTACTCTGTCTAAATTATTGCCCGAAATATACTACAATCTTACAATGTGATCATCAACCAAGAGTAGACCGAGGGCAGGATTTGCGACCGAGGCCGAAGCCGAGCAATTGTCCTCCTGACCGAGGCCGAGGAAAAATCGCTATTCCTCGGTAAAACCGAGGCCGAGGACTCGGTCGACCCTTGCCATCAACTGCAACTGATAACTGTGATATGCTCTAATAATACAGTTCATAAAGAAGAAATCCTTACCTGCCGCATGGCAAACTTCCAGAATCATCAAGTCTTGGTTCAGTTTTAAGAACACTGGTTCTGTTTGAGTTCACAGGTCGTACACAAGGTAAGACCGGGGACTTCAGTTTCAGTTTATCTTCTCCGAGCAGCAGTGGAGACAGGTCAAACTTTGCTATTCCATATGAATCCCATGGTATCCCAGGCGGTCCAAGAGCTTTTGATTTACCTGAAATCTCAAATCATTGAGATCACATGAATAACCTGAATTCCTGCACGAAACTAACGTATGGTTCGATGCAAAGGTGGATGATAAATTTGACTTAAATGTCCCACGCGGTCATGACTCATGACTTGGATTAGTTAAACTTACCACTGGTATCAAACAAATGTTCCTCGTTGCCATGAATATCAAATATCTTAGGAAGAGGTTTGATGATGTCCGCTCTTCTGTCTCTGTCGTGAAGCTCCACTTCAAATGGAGGACCTGTCAGAAACTCTTCCAACTTTGTCCGAGATAGCACACCTGAAGATTGCAGTTAGAAAGCTGTCAAATACCTTAAGATTAATTTCTACATTCTATATGAAAGTGGGCAATGCATTCCGTCGGTCACTCAAAATAATAACTAAATCCAGTCCGAACCATGCGGCAGTTGCTAGGATACAAGATAATTAAAACCTAGACTGTTGTATGTTTTTTACAGTAAAAATATTTCAGCGCGTTCCAATTTCTACATTTTTACTGTGACCGAAATTGGCAATTTGCGCGGTTTCCACCAACTGACCTAGCAGGATGACATGCTGATGATTCCAGGTGATATCTTTGGCATGGGGCACTCCTTCCGTGTCAATTTGGTCTTCTCCCAGGAATTGATATCTAGCAAACACTGGATTGCACTGTTCTGACAACTGTTTATAAGCAACTGCGAAGAATAAAATTGGAGAGTTTGTTTTGGCACGTGACATCATGCGATCAACGTTGCTGCCAAAATCATAAATATCTGTAAAATTTTAAAAATCAAAATTTGCGTATTAAACTATTTTATTTTACTGCTTTTTTGCGACAGTATTTTGGAAACAGTTTCCAGCCTAATTTAACATTGATATCTCAAAATACAAATTCTGTAACATTATAATTATAGTCCTTAAAAACATTCATAAGGTTTTCATAACATTCCTATGCTTTACCTGGAGAGTTGGGATTGTTTTTCGACTTGACGATGTTAAGTTTCATTGGACACAGCTCCTTTGAAAGGGACAGTGACATGAGAGGCTTATTTAACGATATCTTCACGATAACCTGGACATGTATGGTGAATAAAAACTAACAATATAAACCCTACATTCTACAAATTTGAGGTACAGTGATGGAGTTGACAATAGTAGGGGGGGGGGGGGGGGTGAGCAAAGTTGTTGACACGAAACGGCGATTAACCAATCAGCAACAATGACAAAACACTCTAGCTCATTTATAATCCACAACATTGAGTTTAGCGATATGAGCGTTATATATACGTAGCATATGTAATATTCTTATTATTATAGCTAATATTGCAGCACCAACGCACATTTTATAAAGAAAGGAGCTCAAAGCACCTGCTTTAGCGCAGTAAAGTGCTGGCACGGCTCACTGTGTGCAAAGAGCACAGTATTTATAAAGAAAGCACCTGCTTTAGCGCAGTAAAGTGCTGGCACGGCTCACTGTGTGCAAATAGCACAGTATTTATAAAGAAAGCACCTGCTTTAGCGCAGTAAAGTGCTGGCACGGGTCACTGTGTGCAAAGAGCACAGTATTATAAAAAAGCACCTGCTTTAGCGCAGTAAAGTGCTGGCACTGTGTGCAAAGAGCACAGTATTTATAAAGAAAGCACCTGCTTTAGCGCAGTAATTAAGTGCTGGCACGGCTCACTGTGTGCAAAGAGCACAGTATTTATAAAGAAAGCACCTGCTTTAGCGCAGTAAAGTGCTGGCACGGCTCACTGTGTGCAAAGAGCACAGTATTTATAAAGAAAGCACCTGCTTTAGCGCAGTAAAGTGCTGGCACGGCTCACTGTGTGCAAAGAGCACAGTATTTATAAAGAAAGCACCTGCTTTAGCGCAGTAAAGTGCTGGCACGGCTCACTGTGTGCAAAGAGCACAGTATTTATAAAGAAAGCACCTGCTTTAGCGCAGTAAAGTGCTGGCACGGCTCACTGTGTGCAAAGAGCACAGTATTGCCAGCATAGAGCGAGGATAGCGGTACAGATAGCACACATTTACCACACTCCGACACCATGTCCTTCTCCATCTTCCTCCGCCTCATCTCAGTTGGTGTGGTGGATGTCAGATCAGTGGACGACACTTTGTTATCCGACTGAATTTGTTTGTAATTGTTTATTATTTTGGAAAAATAAAAGGCTCTGGCGAATGTAACATGTATGATTGAGGCACGAAATTGATTTATCAAGAGCAGAAAAGAGTACGCAGTGTGGGTTTAAAATTTAATATTCCAGATAACCGAAACAAATCACAAATATCAAAATCTAATTAACTTACTAACAATTAATTGATAAGATTTATCAAATAACCTACCTTCATATTATCTGAAGAAGAGTGTTTTGCTTTATGTCCGGAAGCCATCCCTTTCTCCATCTGGAGGTGTCTCCTAGCGTTACTCTGTGCTGTACCTCCTGCAAACAAAGGAATTTAGAAAAAATGTGTACAGTTTCTATATTGAGCTAAAATGTATCTTTAATATGATGTGTATCAGAAATTTAAACATTTTCAAATCGTTAAAAATGAATAAATCCAGGGAATAGAAGATAAAATCTGGTGAGTAATTTTTACGTTTGTTGATTAAAATATTCCAGAATTTATATAATAACCGATACTATTAATTATTGTTCTTAATCGCACTGGAAAATTTCAAAACTAAGCATTTTTTGTTTCCAACTTTCTTGGTTAACACTTTTTGAAGACAGTTTGAAATGATTTCTTTTATTTCCTGATTTGACAATCACCAAACCAAAAGAATCCAGCTCGAACGAGTAAAAGTAATCCACATGACGTGATATTGTGATACTATAGCTTGCTATTAAAGTGCTTTGTTCGCCACAAACGGGTAACCGACAAACAAATGGCCGAACTCAAATTTCCTGGGTACAATTGTCATCATGTGCTGATCTCAATGTTACACATTCTCCTCCATTCTAAGTAACTCTCAGGGGTTACAGTACGTTATTTATTTCTTGAAGATGTCTTGCTTCTTAGTGACTGTTGCTCTAACTCTTTCAATTGCCTTCCCGGCAACCAAGACCTTTCAAAACTCAGTAGAAGATTCAACCCCCACACTTGTTGATGACAACATAGCTGGTCCTATGGAGGGGGATTTCGAGGGTCCGGTTAAGAAGTTGACAGTACTCCTGATGATAAAGCAGATCAGTGATGGGATACACGATTTGTTTGAGAAGAGAACTGAGTTTGACAGTATTGAGAGGGAGCTACTGAAAAACGAAACCAAGGTTGATTACATTTTCCCGGATGAGGCTGATATTATTGAGGGAATCGGTAAATATCAACCTTTTGTATTATTTGTTTAGATGTTATATTATAGGAATCCATATTTTTGAAAAAACTCTTGAGAAAACGTGGCTTCTGAAAAAGTATCTTTTTCCAGGAAAAGTAATCTCGAAGTTTCTAAACAACTCACAGCAAGCCGTTCAGAGAATACACAAAGCCGCTGAGCAGGGTAAGCACTGAAAATGTCTGAAAATTAATCAAAGTACCAACTATGGCTATCTCAACCACCAGTTTCCATGGAGAAATAAAACATATTTTCATATATACTAATCATGACTCCACAGGTATAGAAAATCACACGTGGGCGGACCACTCAATCCACACGGACCAAGACATGTCCTACTTAGATGGAAGTGAGCTTCCCATCAGACGAGGTGACCTTAACCTGACCCTTGAATATCGGAAAGCGTTCGGGATAGAGTGTAACACGACATACAGTACCATATCAGTAACTATTGATGTGTACAAGTATACGAGTGATGTCCTGAACTTTGCTAAGGCTACGAGAGCGCTGGATGAAGTCTTTAGGAATAATTTCGAAGAAACCCAGTATATAGGGTGGCAGTATTTTGGTAGTAAATACGGGGCTAAGAGAACATATCCTGGATTGTACGATAAGCTTCCTACTGACCCTAGATATAGACCATGGTAAGGACAAGTAATTCGTATCTCATTAGAGTTATGGTTCTGCAAATATTTCACCGAATTTAAATTATTGTTTAAACTTTAAACATGGTTGAAACATAAGAAAGGGCCCTTTACGGAGGCTCCAGTTCTAAAATCCACTATTATTGTCCGTAACTCCACTAAAGGTATGTGGACGGTTCCACCTACCCCCGCCACCTGCTCCTCATGGTGGACACTAGTGGCAGTATGTACGGCTTCCCAATGAAACTAGCGCGGATAGTGGCTGAGAAACTGATACACACGCTATCAGAACACGATCTGGTAAACATAATCCTGTACAATAATAGTCACGTGACAGGCCCGAGTAGCTGTTTTGATGGGTTTGTCAGGGCTACACCGGAGATAAAACAACAGGTCAGTGTTCAGAAGTGAGTCCTTCCCAGTTCCCATTTCCAAACTTACAAGTTCAATATTAAATGTTGCCTCTGATTGCTCGAGCTGAGTGCTCGTCCTATAAATCTTGAAATAAAAGTAAAAGCAATACACTTCCCCAGTTTATACAACTAGTAAAAGACGCAGAAGTGTTCGGTCCTGATAAGGTAGAAGAAACACTCCGTTGGTCAATAGAGTTCCTCAAAAACAACACCAACAAAGCTGATAACTGCCACAGCAGTCTTGTTGTCCTTACTGACAGTAGCAGGAAAATAAACAAAGAACTTTTTGACGAGCTGGATCCGGATCACACAATTAACATTTTAACATTTAGCTTCTTTAATACCCTAACACGGTATGATGATTTTGAGAGTATTTCATGTGGCAGTAAAGGGCTGTTTGAGGTCATCAGGAATATTGGAGATTATCAGAAGGCTGTGTTGCAGTTTACTGAGTTCTACCAGAAGAACAGATTGTATGGAATTGAGGAGAGGGTGAAGCCTATGTGGTCTAATGTTTACTACGATCAGGTAGTGCAGCTGATTTGTTGATGTAGCATTATATAATTATATGTATATTTAATTCGTAGTCCAAAGGAAGATCAAAATCTACGAGGCACAAGTAGTCTCTATTCTACTCTACAACTGCAACTCCTGGGCTGCACCACTAGCTTCGTTGAATGAACTTGATATTGCTCATCGCAAACACCTCCGAAGAATCCTCAACATCAGATGGCCTACTGGGGTTATTTCTAATGAGGCGCTCTATGCTCGTTGTTATGTCACTCCCTTGTCTGTGAGAGTCTCTTAGTTTCGATGGAGAATGTTAGGACATATCTTAAGAGGACAGGAAGACTCACCAGCATACACCTCTATGTTATTTGCTATAAATTCTGATATTTTTATGGAAGGGAGACGGGGTAGACCATGTTTAAACTTATTAGATGTTATTAGAAAAGACTTGACCAGTAGAAATCTTGATATTAGACTTAAGAATTTGACTGATTTCGAAGACCTTAGATTTTTAGCTTTAGATAGGGAGGAGTGGAAGAAGTTAGAAGATGGTTGATGTTTTTGTTTTCTTTTTTATGCGTTTTGATATCTATAAGGTGCCTAGGATGCTCTTTTAAAGAGATATTTCGTACTTTGAAAGATTTACTACTAATTCGTAGAACAGAATTGCTTCATGATTTAGTATTAAGTTCAATTGACAATGATAGTACTAATCTAAACTAAGTGATATTAATTTCAGGCAGGACTAGGCTACGTCATCACAACAACTCTACCTGTAACAGCGAACCAGACCTTTCAGGACAACAAGCACAACACAAACCTCACACGATTTGACAGGAGTTTCATAGGAGTAGTGGGGGTTGACGTGTTTATCAAACAACTCAACAGACTGGTACTGGACTTCTTCGCCAACGGGGACTACGTGATAATAACTAATAACTTTGGCAACGTTATACTGCACCCTAACTCACATCAACGGAAGGTAAAAACAGATAACTCCTATTCCCCGGAAATAACGCAGCTATTAGACGACGTGGAACACTCACAGAACCATTCCACCGTAGAGGAGTTAAGTAGAAATATGATCGACAGAAAGCAAGGCAACCTGACCACCAACAGTTTGTTCTACCTCCAGAACATGCCGAAGGGGGAGGAGACTCTTTTGAAGACGACCTACTTTTACGGTCCGATACCTGACACACCCTTTGCGTTCGCCATAGCCAGTCGACACAAGTTGGGCTATCCAGATATGAACACTCCAAAAATTCGGGATATCTTCGACAACTCTGAGAGTCTGGACACTTTGAAGACATTCATAATTGGTCTACACGATAATGGTTTTCTGAAGCTAAAGTCACGATATAACTGTTCAATACTGGAATTCTCACAAACGAAATACTACGCAAAAAGCGAGGTTGACAGAGAAGCCGATCTGTTCTGTGATTTCGAAAAAGCGGACGTTTGCGAACCGAACTACTGTGTGAAACGGCACTTTCAAAACATGATGTACGACTTGTGGAAGATATACATCCCGATAGTGAACCAAGGAAGAAGTTGCCGGGACGATGAAGGGTTGGTTAACTCGTGTTTTGTAATTACGGGGTCGGGAATTTATGTGAGCTCTACCAAAGGTTGGTTAACAAACGATACGATAGAATCAGGACAGGAGACACTTGAATTAAAGACCAAAAACCAGGAGTTCAAATCAGCTATTCTGGTAACGAGACCTATCAAAGTTAGGGGACACAAAGGGCTCTATGTCAACATCACAAAAAGTGTGTCCACAACATCTCAAGCCTCGGAGGTGTTTCTGGCTACAGTCGGGATGGAAGCAAATCTAGAAGTTCTCAAAAGTATAGTTAGTAAAAGTGTCGAGGGTACCGGGCATGTCGTGGATATAATGGTGGTTGACGAGAATATGTTGATTATTAGTGGTTTCAAGTCAGATGGAGGGGCAACGGATGGGAAAAGCCTAAAAATATTCTACCCTAAAATTGCGAATAAGTTGGTTACGGAGAGCATATTCTTTGAATTCAAATACCATGAGTGTGATCACGAGTGCAAAGTTGAGATCCCAAAGAAGGATTCATGTGTTGGTGAAAACAACTACTGGTGTAACACTGCCCCCAAGAGCAAGATGATGATGTGTTGTCAAGAGTTTGCTACGTACAGTCGGAAACGTTACACGCTGCACGTGCCTATTAGCATAACAGTTCTCTCAAACCAGACATTCTCCACAAACTGCACGTGCGACACAAACTGCACGTGCGACACAAACTGCACTTGCGACGTACACAACGCCAGCTCATGTCCTCAATGCTCATTTGAGACGTGCAGCGCAAAATACGCAGTAGCTGACATACCCAACACAAACATCCTAGCAATAATCAGGCTGACTCCAGAGTGCACTCAGAAAGCCGAGGAACACAGAGAGGAACCAGACATAATCTACAGCCACGGAATCTGCGACAGAGAGGTTGACTATTACACCCCCATTAAGAAGTGTTTTAGTGTTGAGACTCCCTCAGAGACTCCGGCTGAGTGCCTACAGAAAGCACGAACCAGACATAGTAACGCTGGAAGGTCGGACATGTCTTCTTTTGTTTTCAGCGTAGTTTTCTTGTTTTTCAGAGCTGCGGAGGTTATTTAGTTTGACAGCTACCATCTTAATGACGGTAATTAGTTAATTATTGTGTGTGTTTGAGTTATGAGTGTATGGCTTTATCAGGAAAACGGTAAAAGATCGGAAATACTGCCAAATACTGGCTGTAAGACGTCAGTGTGACTGGCATGGTGTGCTAATTTATATATTCGTTGTAACATTTGTATGTTTCACCGATCGCGTATTCTGCTTGACGATTTGTGAGGTCGTCTTTGACTCTTTTTTGACTGCGAGTACCCTATGCTGGAGTATGAAACTGTGGCCCGCTACATATTTTACTTTGTTAGACGCAAGCTTTTATATGGGTGCCGGGTGCCAAATAATTATAAATTCGATCGTTTCTTCTTCTTTAAAAAAACGCAATTTAACTGTTTTTCCAAGTTACCTCAAACTTCTTGGTAACACTGGCTCAGTACGTGGTTAAGTTTATGTAGGGTATGCGATGTAAAATATAGGAAAGTTATAGGTAATCTAATTCCCGTTATAGTAGCTAGCAAGTTTTCACATTAACTTCCTTTAACGGTAATGGGAAATTGTTTGTATTGGCTTTGTACACGTTTACATATTACACGGTATTCGTTATATCTTGAGTCACCGACTTTGCTTTGTCGCGGTTTAAGCCTCAGTAACATGTTATGCGGTATCTTGCATAATCTTTGTTTATTTTAAGAGTATCATCGTCTGATCCAGCTGTAGTGATCAGATTTCAATTTCAGCAGAATTTCATTTAAGACATTAGAAATTATCACAAACAACTCGATCAGTGAAGATCAGCTTTCAATAAGGCGCTACTCACTAGGTGTTAATGTTATTAACGTCTCGTCTCTACACTCTCCTTTGTGCACTGTGCAGTGAAGGTCAGTATTCTGCAGAATCCATTTTTTGTGGTAACGATTAAGCAATAAGCCCGTATAGGGAGTACGTAATACTCAGCATAATATGCGTTTATTTTTAATTGTTACCTAACTTTGTTTTAGATTGTCTATCGGAAAAACTAGTGTTTTTGTTCCTGCTTACATTGTTATCGATGAATGATACATTCATCAACAATCGTTCGTGTGAATTCTGTTTTATTGCTGAACGTTGCAAGAGTTGTCAATTAGATTGTTCCTGTAAAACGTATCTGCCTCTGTTCCGATCTAGCAACCAGTTATTTACTTTGTTTATTATAAGTCACGACATCACTCGAGCACTTCTTCATTGTTAAACAGAACTACACTGACTCTATAAAATCAACTGAGGCTACAGGTTGGGTTTGGATCTTTAAGCTTACAAGGGAATGTTATTTAGCCAAAACTATACTTTTAAATAAGGTTTAACGAAATAAAATGTAAAACCGTTCAGGTAGCCAGTATCAATACATGTTACAGCTCACTACGTATGAGGAAATAAATAGCACTCTCAACAACTTCATAACCTCGGCTCTACCAAGTTTCTGAACACCCACTAACTTCTCTGGACTCTATATTCATAAGCAAGAAATAAATCATGAATGCACGCAGATCCTTCTTCTGGGTTTCCGTTATCGTACTTATCAACATAGCTGTTCTGGCTTGTTTCTTCCGAGTCAATATCATAGCGATTTCTTCGACTTCCATCTCAATTTCTGACAATGTGTCGAGTAGTGGTGATCATCAGGTTGACATAGGAGAACTGGAGAAAATGTGGCAGGAGAAGTTAATCGAGGACCTGTTTCACGACACAACAGTCGGCCACAAAGGCCACAAACCTGCGGTCGTAGTTGAAGAAAAATTGAAAGATGATTTCAAACAAGGAACGTCCCACCAAAATGAAGACAAAAACCTCAAGGAATCCGAATTTAATCTACAGCACCGTCTTCCTCCAACAAAGTTAGACGATGATGCTAGAGTAATCGCCAATAATGCCAAATTGATGGCAGATTCTGGGAAAGATGCACAAGATCTAGAGAACCAACTTCAAGCAGATAGTGAGCATCAGGACCACGCCACATCTCTGCCTAAACAGACTAAAATGGTTTTACTTCTCACACAGAGCCGTCACGGTTCCACCTGGTTGATGGACATGTTGGGATATAGAGACGAGGCTGTTCCGGTTTTTGAACCTCTGAACGTTTCCAAGTTTTTAAAAATGTATGCACTTTATGATGAGATGAGAGAAGAAACACTAGCTGAAGGTTACGATCCGGTCAAATATGAAGACTGGCGAGAGATCTTATTAGCAAGAATATGTCTCTGTGATTGGCACGGGAAGAAAATAGGGGAGAAAAAAGTTGGATCCATCTTAGGACTCTGGTACAAAGAAAAGCGTGCTCATCCTGAACAAAAAGGTCGGTACGATACAAAAGCTGCTGAGGCTATGTGTTCTGAAGAGGGTTCAATGATGGTATCCAAAACCATACGATATTACAACATGTCAACATTGTTCAGAATCCAAGATTTTGGGTGCGAAAATTTTAAAGTTATTCATTTAGTTAGGGACCCTCGAGCCGTCATGAATTCTCGCATGGGCGTCTTCCATGAATTGTACGATGGAAGTAAAACCTTAGGGGCTCACATTGAGTCTAAAAAAGGGCAGGAAGGCTTTGATGAAGCTTACATGGCGAGGGCTGCAGATTGGATGTGCTCTCATCATCTTTACAACTATAAACTGGGAATGAATCCTCCGCCCTGGTTGAAAGGCAGATACAAAATGGTCAGGTACGAGGATTTAGCAGAATTTCCATCGCAATTGACCAGCGAAATACTTCATTTCATTGGTGTAAATTACACCTCCAAGTACAAAGAATACGTTTACAATTTGACACATGTAAAAGAAAGAGGAGCAAAGCCAGGAAGTTCGTATGGGGTCGAGAAGCAAACTAGCGAAATAATTGATAAATGGAAATCAAACCTTATTGAACCTCACTGGAGAACTATTGAGAGAGTTTGTGCAGATATGATGAAAGCTTTTAACTATGAACCTAATTTTTAATTATGTAAGATTGATTCGATTTCTAATCCCTGTGTAAATATGAGTCTCGCTGTTTCTGAATCGTTGTATTTCTTGTGGAATTGAAATATGAAAACAGTACTAATTTTAATTAGAATATCCTGAGTGATGGTTCAACTGATAGAGAGAACGGAATGTTGGTTTGAAACTGACATTTAAATCCAGCCTGGTCTAAGAGAGTTTCTATCCCGACTTCTCCTGTTCCTTCTCATTGATAAACATGTCATTGTATCCGACCTACAATCAATAGAATTCAAACCTTTTTCACACTCATAGGCTGCTGATTGTCTAATGTCTGAGAAAAGCAAAGTTATTCCTCGTGATACCATTAGAATCAATGGGATATGACAGAGCATAGTGTGGAGTGAGCTATGTGCTCATCCTTGGGGAACCCGGTGGATGTCCTTGCTGTACGGCAGTGTTAAACAAGGAACTGAAACCGAGGGGTTCCGTTCAGGCCCTTCACACTTTGTTTCTGTCTAGTTCTAATGTACCGTCACAATAGTGACTTTAATATATATACTGAAGAATAACTGGGCAGATTCATTATTTTTCAAAATCCGATCAGTGGTACTCACATTACAGTTTAAAGACTTTAAAGTGATAAGAATACATCTAATTAGAATACATAGTAAACACATTGTCATATAGTTAAAGTCCGTGAGTTACATACATGTCATTGTTAACGATTAATTGTCCAAACTTTTGTGATTTAGAAACCCGTTCCCGACTTGGTCGATTTTTTTAGTTATACAGATTCCGCGTTAAGTTACGGTCAAATTCTCTAAAAGTCTAAACTCGCTTAAGTTTGTACGAATACAATTGGTTTTTTTTTCATAAGGAAATTTTGATGGTATTGCAAAGATAGTGTATTTCGGTAAAATTTCAGTCCATATTATGTTCCCAAGTTCAACTATAAAGTTTAATTTTACCGCCACCCAATTGATCGTGAACTAATTCAATGGTACGAGGGATAGCGGGGTGTTCCTCGGACAACCCGGGAATAAATATCTGAACATTGTTCAATGCAATACTGCAATACTTTAATACTTTAATACTTTAATACTTTAGGACGTGTTCAAACCTGGTTGGTGGTTTTGTTTCATTTTTCCCACTCATTACTTCTGGGCCCCCAGATTGAAATCTGTAATATTTTAAGAAAAACTGAAACTACTGACAAAAACTAGACCCTTTGACTGAGGGCACCCTTGAATCAGAATTTTTGTAACATATTCAGGTCCTGAGATATAGCAGTTTAGTTGGGGGCCCTGGATATTGAATTTTGTAACACATTTCTATGTTACACTTTTTCAATGGGTTTTTAGAGAAGCTTCTTGATAGTTTTTCAAGTTCAGACCAGTTTTTCTAGGTCACAAAGGGTTCCATCAACCATATTCTTGACCAAATTTTGTACTTGGGCCCAAAACATTGAATTCTGTAACATATTTATGTTTTCACTGCCAAGGTCATATCTGGAATATTCAATATATTTTTGTATTGGTAACATGGTTTTTAGATTCTCATACAAAATTCTGAAGCATCCTTATTCATATAATTTGAGAAAATGGCTGCGGAACTTGAATTATGTAACATTAGAAAGTAAGTGTATAGAGTATAGTATATAGTATGTATCCTAGTGTGAGGGGTGTTAGGCAAGCTATATTATAGTTTTTGAAGTTCAGACCAGTTTTTCCAGGTCACAAAGGATTCCATCAACCATATTCTTGACCAAATTTGTACTTGGGCCCAAAACATTGAATTTTGTAAATATTTATGTTTTGACTACAAAGTCATATCTGGAATGTTCAATATATTCTTGACTGGTAATGGTATTAGATTCTCATACAGAATTGATGCACGCTTAATCTATAAGTTGATAAAAAGTGGAACTTCGAATTTATGAACATTGGAATAAGTTAAAGTAGTGTAAATTAACAATAGGTGCGGGTCGATACAAAGCTTGAGCTATGTTTCTGAAGGTTCAATATTTCCTAAACATCATATTAGTACATGTCAACATTGTATTCAGAACCAATTTTGATGGGCCAAAAATTTTAAAGTTTTCTTAGTTAGACCCGAGCTCATGATTCGCATGGGAACGTCTTCCATATTTACGATGGAATAAACTAGGTGCTCACATTGATGTCTAAAAGGCAAAGGTTTGATGAGGTAATGGCGGCGCAGATTGATGTGCTCTATCATCTTGACAACTATAATGGATAAATCCTCGCCTGTTGAAAGAGATCAAATGAATCTAGATAGCGATGTATTTGAGATTAATTTCATCGCATTTGTACCAGCGAATACTTCATTTAATTGGTAAATTACACCTCAGTACAAGATTGTTACATTGACACATTAAAAAATTGGGCACCAGATTCGTATGGTCGATTAACAACTAGGAATAATTGATTATGGAATCTTACTTATTGAATCACTGAAACTTGAAGAGTTGTGCAGATATGATGAACAGCTCTTACTAGAACTAATTTTAATTTGTAAGATTGATTCGATTTCTAATCGTAAATATGAGGCCGCTTTCTGAATTGTATTTTTGTGATTGAAATTACAAACATTGTACTAATGTTTAATAAATATCGAATGGTGTCAACTGATAGAGAACGGATGTTGTTTGAAATGACATTTAAATCCAGCCTTATGATCCCGGCACCCCCCCAGCTTGGTCTAAGAAGTTTCTATCCCGATCTACGATTCCTTCTGATAAACATGTCATGTATGACCTAAAATCATTGAATTGGCAACCTTTTTCAACTCATAAGGTGCCTTGTTCATTCTGAGAAAAGCAAATTATTCCTTGATACATTAGACATCATGTTGACAGCAAGTGGGAGTGAGCTTTGCTCATTTGGTGAACGGTGGATGTCCATTGCTGAACGCAAGTGTTAAACAAGACGAAACCGTGGGTTCGTTACCCTTAACTTTTTTCGTCAGTTAATGTACGTCACATAGTGACTTTAATATTATTTATACTGCAGTTCTTATTTTTCAAATCCGATCAGTGTACTCACATACGTTAAAGATTTAATATTAGAATACATTAATAGAATACATAGTAAACACATTATATCTAGTTAAGTCTGTGGTTACAAATTAATTTTTAACGATTATTTCCAAACTTTTGGATTAGAACCCGTCCGCTGGTGATTTTTAGTTTAATATTCGCGTTGTTCGGTCAATTTCTAAAAGTCAACTCGCTATACGCATGGTTTTTTTTTCATAAGGAATTTGTGTTTGCAAGAAGTGTATCGGTAAAATTTCAGTCCATATTATTCAAGTCAACTATTAATTTACCGCACCGATTGATCGTACTAATTCATGTCGGATAACGGGTGTTCCGGACACCCGGGAATAAATTTGAACATGTTCAATGCAATACTTTAATACTTTAATACTTATACTTAATACTGTTAAAGATTCAGACCGGATTTATTTTACGATTCATGATCCTCGGTATCAGTATTTCTCAAAGAATCGTTCACAAGGAGTAAGGACACATTTATAAACATGACAGTTTCATAGAGTCATAAAAAACATATAGTCTGAAGAAATATGAAATTTAGAATGAAAGACTTTATAATAATCACTATAATTATGGGATTAGAAATCAATTATTCGGATTGAAAAACGTAGGTTCATAGTTAAAAGCTTTCATCATATCTGCACAAACTGTCTCAATAGTTCTCCAGTGAGGTTCAATAAGTTTCTTTTTCCATCTGTCAATAATTTCGCTGGATTGTTTCTCTATACCATACGGACCGTCATCTTTTTTCCCTCTATCTTTTACATGGGTCAAATTGTAAACGTATTCTTTGTAATCAGAAGTGTAATTTACACCAATGAAATGAAGTATTTCGCTGGTCAATTGCGATGGAAATTCTGCTAAATCCTCGTACCTGACCATTTTGTATTTGCCTTTCAACCAGGGCGGTGGATTCATTCCCAGTTTATAGTTGTAAAGATGATGAGAGCACATCCAATCTGCAGCCCTCGCCATGTAAGCCTCATCAAAGGCTGCCTGTCCCTTTTTAGACGCAATGTGAGGCCCAAGATTTTTATTACCATCGAACAATTCATGAAAAACATTCATGCGAGAATTCATGACTGCTCGAGGGTCCCTAACTAAATGAACAACTTTAAAACTTTCGCACCCAAAATCTTGGATTCTGAATAAAGTTGACATGTTGTAATATCGTATAGTTTTGGGTACCATCATTGATCCCTCCTTTAAGCACCTAGCCTCCGCAGATTTCGCATCTGCTTTTGCGTCAGGGAATCTCTTTGACTTGTACCATAATCCCCTCATGGTGCCTAAATAATTTTTCCCTGGTATTTTCCTCCCCCACCAATCGCAGATACATATCCTTGCTAAGTAAATCTCTCGCCAGTCTTCATATTTGACCGGATCGTAACCTTCAGCTAGTGTTTCTTCTCTCATCTCATCAGAATGTGCATACATTCTCAGAAACTTGTCATCATTCAGAGGTTCAAAAACTGGAACAGCCTCGTCTCTATATCCCAACATGTCCATCAACCAGGTGGAACCGTGCCGGCTCTGTGTGAGAAGTAAAACCATTTTAGTCTGTTTTAAAGGCAAAGATGTGACGTGTTCAGTATCTTTGGCATCTTGAACTTGTATGCTAACAAGTGGCTTCAAAGTAACGTCGGACGTTTTCTGGAATTCTGCACTATTATCAAGTGCCCCTGCATTTCGATCATCTTTTAACTTTGTCAGAATTGTATCTTGATGAACGTCAGATTTACCTTCCTCAAGGTTTTCATCTAGATTGTACTCTGATCCATCAAGCTTAAAACTATCTGCTTTGTTCTCTTCAGCTTCCACTACAAATATATCATCTTTTTCGGCATCCTTAGCTACAACAACATGTTTTTCATCTTTTGCGGGCATTATTTGCAAATCAACTTCAGCATCTTTCCATTCTTGCCAATGTTGTTTCTTGTTGAGCGGTATAGTTGGAGCATCTTCTGTAGCGCGAAACAGGTCCTCAAACAACTTCCCCTGCCACATTTTCTCCAGCTCTTCTATGATAGCCTGATTATCACCATTACCCGACACATGGTCAGAAATTGAGATGGAAGTTGAAGATAACGATAGGATATTGTCCTGGAAGAAACAAGCCAGAACAGCCATGTGAATAAGTATGATAACAGAAAACCATCCACAAATTCTGCGGAGATTCATGATCCAGATAAATTGCTCAAATCATTAAAGAATAACTGAGGCAGTTTTTGAGGGCTGAAGGAACTTGGTAGAGCTAAAGATTTATGGTTTCCTCCTACGTATTGATCATTATAACATGGATGCCGGAATCCGGATGGGTACTGTCTTCCTGAATGATTTCATATTTTATTTTGCTAGTTAAGTTATAAATTTAAACCATCCATAATTTGGCTCACTTATTGGCAACCCTGAGAGTTATCAAAACAATTAATCTTATTGATTGATGACGTGGTTTAAAACACACAGACCAACTAATAAATAGCTAGATAGAAGAATGGTTAATGCATTTTTATATTTTCATATCTAAATTCAAAAGATGAAAAATAAATATATGAAGAAATGCAAAACATTAAAATTAAGCGGTCACAAATTAAATTTCAGAGATTTTCGCGTAACTAGACTCAAAATTTGTATTACAAGGCAAAAAACGGGATTATATTATAACTGAGACACGAACAGGGTAGAATTGTTTCATTTTCTGCACCTTGCAGACCTTCAATAATTTAATCAATCGTTTGATGATGAATTTTTACCACTTGTAATAAGCAACATCTTTATTAAATGCAGTATTTCCATATTTCTTCTCATATCATATTTAATCATTACGTTTTGATAACCGTCTAAACTCTGCAGAAAAATCGTATATTATCATATCCGTATGGGAGTTGCTATGGAATCAGGTAAAATAAGTTTCACATTGCACAATAACAAAATAAAATACGAATCCGTTCAGGTAGCCAGTTCAGGTAACAAGTATCCATCCATGATGTGATGATCACTACGAGTGAAAGTACTTAACTTACTTAACCGAATCGAATCTACCTTACTCGGGAATATTATAGCGGGTTAATTTATGACTGGGAAAATTAATGACCGGGAAAAATATGGCGGAATTTTCCAAAACCCACCAAGCATCAAAATGTATTACTATTAGTTTACCTAACTCGGGAACATTATAGCGGGTTAATTTATGACTGGGAAAATTAATGACCGGGAAAAATATGGCGGAATCTTCCAAAACCCACCACTTTATCCCAGTCATAATATTCCCGAGTAAGGTAAATTTTTTTTACCTATCGAAAGTTTAATTTTAATTAGAAATTTTATTTCAAACTTTATTTCAAACCGTTCGCGTTATGGTTGCTCCCCACTCTCCATTTTCGTACGACATCTTTTGTATTTTTCTATGATTATTGTAAATTGTAAGACGAGTTTACTTCCGGTAAACGCCATACCAAGAGTTTTTTGTCCAGATAAATTGATAGCTGTTCTGGTCTGTTATTTCATATTTGTTCGGGACGATATCATATCGTTATCTTAAACTTTCAGATCTCCATTTCTGACCATGTGTCGGGTATTGGTTATCATTAGGCTATCAAAGGAGAACCGCAGAAAAAGCGTGGCAGGAAAAGTTGATCTTCTAAAAATGTAAGCACTTTCTGATGAAATCAGAGAATAAGCAATTGCTCGAGGCTACAATCCGGTCAATAATAAAGACTTAAAGACTGGCGAGAGGTTTACTTTGCAAGGATATGTATCAGTGATTGGCACGGAGTTAACGCGGAGGCGATGGCAACACACTAATTTAATTATTAGTTAAGGTCTCCAAGTTGCAGAAAATGTTACGAATATAATATAATATAATATAATAATATATAATCCCCCGTTTGTTTCTGCTATAATATTAAGATCCTGTTCTTTACTTTATAACACCAAAGTTTAGTTGAGTTTAGTTAAGCGAATTAAATAATCTCAACTTTAATTTTAATACCATTTGAACATCATAATATAACTTTTTTTAAATATTATATTAATTTAACGATTTAACGAGATTTGATATCTAAATATGAACATTTATCAGTCATTCTTCCTACCTAGCTATTTGTTTGCTTATACGCAGGCTTTTAACCAAGTCATCACTCAATACGGATAATTCTTTGAATAACTCGCACGACTGCCAATATGTGGGCTAAACTGCAAATTATTCTTAATACTTTAATAACTAGCAAAATAAAATATGAAACAATTCAGGAAGCCAGTGCCAATCCCTGGTGCAATGATCTCTACGTAGGAGGAAATCATAAGTCTCTCAGTCTCAGAGCTCTAGCAAATTCCCTCAACCCCAAACAACTGGCTCGGTTATTATTTACATCATTTGAGCAATTGTATCTAGATCATGAATTTCCGCAGAATTTTTCGATGGATTTTTGTTATCATACTTATCCACATGGCTGTTCTGGCTTGTTTCTTTCGAGAATATATCTTATCGTTATCTTCAACTTCCATCTCAATTTCTGACAATGTGTCGGGTAATGGTGATCATCAGGCTATCATAGAAGAGCTGGAGAAAATGTGGCAGGAGAAGTTAATCGAGGACCTGTTTCACGACATAACAGTCGCTCCAAATATTCTACACAAGGAGATGAAACATGAAAATTGGCAAGAATCGGAAGAGAATGCAGAGAAAGATAATAAATCTGAAGTGGAAGCTGCAAAGAACAAAGCGGATGGTTTTCAAATTGATGAATCAGAATACAATCCAGATGAAAACCTTAAGGAAGGTAAATTTGACGATCATCAAGAAATAATTCTGACAAAGTTGAAAGATGATCAAAATGCAGGGGCACTTGATAACAGTGCAGAATTGCAGAAACCTCCCGTCGTTACTTTGAAGCCACTTGTTAGCATACAAGTTCAAGATGCCAAAGATACTGAACATGTCACATCTCTGCCTAAGCAGCCTAAAATGGTTTTACTTCTCACACAGAGCCGTCACGGTTCCACCTGGTTGATGAACATGTTGGGATATAGAGACGAGGCTGTTCCAGTTTTTGAACCTCTGAACGATGACAAGTTTCTGAAAATGTACACATTTTCTGAGGAGGCCAACGAGATGACATTTCCAGAAGGCTACAAACTGGTCAACTACAAAGACTGGAGAGAGGTCTACTTAGCAAGGATATGTATCTGTGATTGGCACGGAAATAAAATACCTGAGAAAAATTATTTTGGGTCTATCAGGGGATTGTGGTACAAGAAAAAGATAGAAAATCCTGCTGTGAAAAATACAAAAGCTGCTGAGGCCTTGTGTTTTGAAGAGGGTTCAATGATGGTACCCAAAACCATACGATATTACAACATGTCAACATTGTTCAGAATCAAAGATTTTGGGTGCGAAAGTTTTAAAGTTATTCATTTAGTTAGGGACCCTCGAGCCGTCATGAATTCTCGCATGGGCGTCTTCCATGAATTGTTCGATGGGAATAAAAACCTTGGGGCTCACATTGAGTCTAAAAAGGGACAGGCAGGCTTTGATGAAGCTTACATGGCAAGGGCTGCAGATTGGATGTGCTCTCATCACCTTTACAACTATAAACTGGGAATGAATCCTCCGCCCTGGTTGAAAGGCAGATACAAAATGGTCAGGTACGAGGATTTAGCAGAATTTCCATCACAATTGACCAGCGAAATACTTCATTTTATTGGTGTAAACTACACCTCCAAGTATAAAGAATACGTTTACAATTTGACCCACGCAAAAGACCTAGGAAAAAAAGAAGGAAGCACGTATGGTATAGAAAAACAATCCAGCGAAATTATTGACAGATGGAAAAAGAAACTCATTGAACCTCACTGGAGAACTATTGAGACAGTTTGTGCAGATATGATGAAAGCTTTTAACTATGAACCTACGTTTTTCAATATAAAAGATTGATTTGATCATTAAATTTAAATTTTCTTCTGAATTCTTGTTTTTATGATAATTTAATGTAAATAATTGTCTTATAAATAAGCTATCGACTGTGTTAAACTCGCAACCGTCACGCTATCAATTTAACACAGCCACATTGTCAAGTAATTCATCAAGTGCGTGAATACACCAGTAGCTAGTACTCGCTACTCGTATCAACATCTTACATGCAGATTGTGCTATAGCTTGACAATGTATTGTCAAGCAGCAAGCTTTTCTTCGACAAATGCGATGCAGCCAATTTGAGTCATAGCTTAACAAAGCGATTAAACTATTTATAAATTAGGATTTACCAGCTTAATCTTCTTAAACAATTATTGTTTTTCAATCACTACATCAAATTTTCAGTAAGACATTACAGCGCTTTAAGTCTATAAAAATCCGTGTTATTTTCTAGTTCCTAATTGTAATTCGAAAACACGTACCTCCGTCAAATCGAGCATCCACAGGTTTAGGGCCGGGTGGTGGGGGTAGTCTGAAAACTTTGGGACGATCAAACTTGGCTCTCACGCTCACTTTGTCCTTGGTGTCCCAGAACCGTATGTTGACAGTGTGTGAAAACATGTCAAGTAGCAACGCTTTAGTTACTGAAAGTGTATCCAATGTTGATATGACACATTTTCAATTAAAAGACAAACAATTAAAAGTGATTTAGTCTAAATCTAGTCAATTAAAAACTACCCATTAATTGGATTTTATGTTCTCTAAATCTACATAATTAAAAACTAACCATTAATTGGATGTTTGTGACTCCACATGACATATTGCTTGTCCCCATCAGTCCTGGTCTTCAGTAACCTGGTATCAAAGTCACTGTACATCTTAGCAACCATGCCTGACATAACTACATCTGCTTTAGCTGCTGATTTATTTGGCTGCAGATTGTACTCCACATGGTAGTACTGCCATGATTTCATGGCTTCTGCCGGTAACTTACCTTCTTCATCAACCTGGGCATTTAAACCCTGTTATAGCTGTTCCGTGTCGGGATATTAGAAATGATGTGAAAGTGAAGCACTGAGCAGAACAGATAGGTACAATACTGAATATTTGTAGCAATAAGAAAAGAGATACTTACGTTGAATACATGCTCGACACTGATAGTAAAATTCACTAAATGTTCCTCGGGCTTTATATCTTCTGAAAGGAACCAGTTTACATACGTTTCATCATAATATTATATCTAGTAATTCTAAAAGAGTAAGCAAAAGCCGTCAGAAAGAGTGTTAAGTTTTAAAAGAGTTAGGATGATAGTGTGTCTCGTAAACTACCATTTATAAATGGTATTTTACGAGAAACACTATAATCCAAGTGCAAGTGATCACATATCTACCTTTAGCCGGTTCAGCTGGAGTAGCTGGAGTAGGAGGATCAGTTCCCACTTCCTCGGCCATCTCTTTACTCGGTTGTCTCGTACACATTTTCAAGGCCCCATAAATGTGTTTTGTGCTATGTAAACAGTGTAAAACGTGATTAGTTATTGATTAGTAGCTATGATCAGGTTTCAAGTGACATTTAATCAAATATTACCTGATTTTATAAATTCGATAGTATGATCTTTTGATAATAGCTGCAAGAGCCCATATTTGACTGTTCAGGAAAATTTGAAATTACTATGTTCACTACACAATAAATCCAAACGTTATTAACAATTTAGTCAAATAAGTAAATTATAATATACATCTGTACAGTTGCTCTTCACAGTTCTATAGTAACTTCATAGAATCGGAATTTACGTCATGATTAAAGAATTGACGATGCAAATTTCAATCAATTTGACATCATCATTTTAGTGCTTAGCATAGTCAGAATTATCAAAAGTCAATATCTCTGAAATTATCTATCCCATATCCAGTGTTACCCTGTCAAAATGGTGAATTTATCTAAAACAAAACCCAAACAAATCCTTCTATTTCCACTGTTGTTGTGGCCTTGTCCGAGGGAGTCTACCGCTCACACTTCTACTCTTGTTCTCGTGCTGATCCTGAGCAGCCAGCTCCTCATCTATCAGCAGATCAAAGTGACCCATGCTATCTTTCGGAGGGACCTTGTTCCATCTGGCGTCCGGTATCTCCCCATTAGGGCAGATTACCTTTAAAACATCATCAATTAGAGTGTATTTCATGATACGATCAGCAGCAGTCGTACTGGTTAGTGAGGGTGATGCATTCACCTCTATCAACCAAGGCTTCATGTTCTCATCAATTATCACATCATAACCATAACATTCAAAACAATGCTTGTCACTTGCCATGACCCCTTGAACTGCTTTCAAACTGTGGACAATAATCCAGTTTATTTCATCAAACACCCTATCAGTAACCTCTTTGCCGTGTGTATGCTCCAAGTACATTTGCAAGTTGTGAACTGTCCACTTACCTCCATGTTTATCATTGTAATCATCTCCATGTTTCTGTATTGATACATTGGTCAAGTGAACAAACATGTTGTCAAGTTCTGAAACTGCACTGTTGTATTTCACTGTACAAAAACGACAAAATCCCAGTTGGTAGATGAATGCTTTCAATGGTCGGTATGATGTTACCAATACATAGAGTCGCAAGTCGTACTTTTTACCACCGATTAGATGAGGGTTATCAATATATTTTGATATTACGTACGTGTCTTTTGGATTATGGCCCATCTGTCGACTATCTCTAGACCACTTCTTCAATTGAGACAATTTATTGATCAGAAAAATTCCAATGCCTCGAGCTTTGGCATTAGGCTTCATAATCCAGGTGCTAGTAGGATTTTTTCTGAATTCTTCGACAAAAATGTTGTAATCTGCAGGTAAGATATAAGTGACAGGAATGAAATCTAGATGCATGTATCGACAATTTTCGTCTTTCTCTGTCAAAGGACTGTTTTCTTTTTCAAGTTCTTTCCTATATCTTTTGATATTCTTGACCAATAAATCTTTCCTGGTGAGCTCATAATGATTGGGAAAATGATTGATTAACTGATCATCACCGAGACGGTAGCCACTGTCAAGGTTGAATATACAACGGGTTGTTTGCACGCTCGTCCAAAAGAAGTTCCAGTCCTCCTCTTCTGAGGTACCCCTTATCCAACCTCGCTTTTCAAAGTTGTTGACAAGAACGGACTTTTCATTGTCTGCCAACCATTTCACTTTACTCATTTTTACCTGTGAAATTGTTACACATGAAGATGTAATCAGAAGAATTACAAACATCAGGATAATTAACATAGGATAATAATAACAGCCTAGTTATGGCTATTTTAATCGATTGCAAAACTTTGGGCCATCTCCTAGGGATGGGATGCCATTTGACAGGATAGCTTAAGATAGTTTTGAAAAATTTAATCTAATATAAGCAATTGAAGCTGAAGGACACTCGTAGTAAAAAATTCCTGTGCATATGGGGGAATACAAATTAATTTATAAATTACCTGCTAAAATGTTTTCAAAATATGAATTCAAATATATGAAACAATACATTTAAAACATGATCTATTTCTTCTGTGACAGTTATTGTTTTATTCACTTGTTGTCTAAGCTTTGGATGAGGCTAAATTCTAACAATAAAATGACAAAGGTTTGTTAGCCCTTCTTTATATAATTGCAGCTAATGTCATGAATACCTACATTATAAAAGAACGCCTAATAAATATTAATTTTAAAATATTATTAGTTTTACAAATTTTTGCGTGCCAAGGTTTTAAATCCCTCCTGAAAATGTGCATGAGATCAGCATGCTGGGTACAAGGTTTACAAGTTTTTTACAAGTTTTACAAAAATTATCTATATACAATATAATAATGTAGATAACGTCAGATCAGTGGTACTAAAATCAAATTCGAAATACAAAGAGAAATCTGTTACCAGTGATGTGTTCCCAGTGATGTGTTCAAACCAAAAGTTATCAATAAGGTGAACTTGCTTAACATTTACTGAACTCGCTAAAGTAAAGTATAATAAGGCATTTAACTATTAATTGCTAATTTATAATTAGTTTATTAAATCTTATGATACAGAGGTGCTCTGCTCAACAATCTGCAGTTTGTTAAGCAGGTTAGAAACTTGGTCAGTCAACTGAGCACAGTCTCTGTTGGACTCGACCACATGACGTGTTAAGTCAGATATCTCGGTATCTTGTTCGTCTTTCTCATCTGGAGGTGAAACTAAGTTAAATTACAGAGGGATGAAATAGTGAAACAAGGTTCAAATCAGGGATTTCTCATAAAATCACAATAAGAAAAAGAATGAAGTTTCAAGGTTCATGACAATATTAGTTGAGGATTCGTACCCCTAAGTTTGGAGATCTCTGCCTGCATTCCTTTTATCTTGGTTTTGAAGGCTGTCAGTTGAGATATATGTGTTTCCTCTAGTGCCTTCATTTCAGTAATTTTACTTTCTTCTAGCTTTGCTAACTGCAAAGCTAGTTCCTCGTTTTGGCTCCTCTCTGAATCGTACTTCTTTTGCAGTGCTGTTTCCAGTTTCGTGTCAACTGTCATGGCCTCTCTGTTTATTAACAAGGCATCAATTATAAGTACACTAGGAGAGTTAGAATTAACCCAAATATAAGGGACACGAATGACTACTCCAGGATTTAAGAAACTAAACTTATAAGTACACTATATATATATATAACTCTAAAACTCTGGTCACAAGAGCAACTGCCTAAACGTGCAGAAGTGAAAACAAATACATAAAATACTAGCAATCCTTTAAATTCGCAATAAATAAGTTCATTCAATGTCATATAATTCTTAAAACCACATATATGTGACCAGTAAATAATTTAATTGGTCTATAGACTACTGTATAAAATTCTCAATATAAACTTTTTAACAATAATAAATAAATTAAAAACACACAACAACCTTGGTGTGTAAGAATGATTAAACAGCCTCATTTTGACACAAAATATCTTTCATAATATTATAGTATATGCTATAATATTAGAACTGTTTAGTTGAGTTCAGGTAACAGAATTTAACTGTGATAGAACCTCTGCTGTGTTATCCACTGTTGAGATGTAGCCATATCTTCGTCCGGTCTAACATTGACCCCGGCTCATGAAATATATGCTTCGTCCGGTCTAACATTGAACCCGGCTCACTAATCATAGGGATGGTGTAGTTATAGTAGTTAGAATATGATCAACTTTTTATAGTTTTATCTCTATTCGAAGGAATTCTTCTGCATCCTTTGTTATTTCAAGTGCTAAATCAAAGAACTCACGAAGTCTGCTCCATGATATCAACATTGAGTTCCCACCATAGCCTTGGTTTTTGATGTTGTGGAATGGGTGTCTTTCAAGAAGCTCACTCATTTTGTTCCTTTTATCTGCTTGTACATCAGGACAGTCGGTAAGCAGGTGAAGTGAATTTTGAGCCCCTCGCCTGCAATCACACAGTGGAGAATCAAATTTACTGCTTTTGAAGCGGTGTAGAAACTCATTCATTATGTTGTTCGGATAGAACAAGCTTAGAAACAAGGTTTCAAGTTGCCTTGATGTTTTAGGTGGAAACTTCAGCTTTGTGGCGCTCACTGTAGGTGCCTCTGTATACCCTTCCAGCTGGTACTGGCTGTTTATGGACGATTGCCAAAGCTGTTCACTGTAATGTTTCATCACTGATTTACTGTAGCTGCATCCTTTTACTGATAGACAGGTGAGTTTTTCTAGATCATGGTTATTTATGATTTTTAGATCCTCATTAGTGAAGTGTTCAGGAAGTATCGAAGATTTCCTAAGTACACTAAACTACCCCTAAACTGCAATACAAATTATCCAAGTTTGAACTCATATATGCCCTCTCATAGTATGCTCAAATCAAATGAATAACACAAATAAATACACTTAATTCAAATATATTCTAACAAATTTGTGATATAATAACATAATGTGAATATTTCTTTATTAAAGTAGCACATAGCTCCACCCTTCGATATAACTTCTGTATCATTCTATTAATGCACCACACCGCTACCTCCACTGCACTAAAAGTTATACAATAAATTCTGTAATCCTAATTTTGTATCGTGATGGAGATTGGAGACCGGTGTCCATACAAAACATTTAGTAGGTTGCCGTTTGGTGTATGCAATAGCGAACAGCACGCACACTCCTTTGCCCCCTCAACCTATATCTAATCTATTTAAAGAGTGACAACCATACTACACATTGAATTAGGATTGTTTAATCTGTAATAAATGGCATAAAATTGAAATTTTTGTTTTTACTGAAATTTTTGTTTAAGTGGATTCGTTGTGTTGATTCCAGCTGCAAAGGATAAATTCGAAAACCATTTCCTCATGTTCAATGTTGGGTAGCAATCATTTTTGGAAATTGGATGTTACCGGACGACACTCGATCAACCAATAATTATGGATCAATTCAGTGGTCCGCTATTTTATATCCGCGTCCGACTTGTTTCACGACTACACGTCGTGAATCTTATTGTGACGAAAGCCACGGCCCATGGTATGATATGGCGGATGACATGACATGACAGCTTTTAATTTTAATATTTTATTATAATTGACACTCAAAAATTTGAATGTAATATTTTTATTTAACAAATCATTGTTGTACTGAGCGTTTTTATTTTTTTGCTATCATGTTAAAACGTAATGATTGCAACATTTATATTACATTAAAAAGGTTTGTATTGATATGATTTCAATAGGGTTATAAATTTAATCGCGCCGCGCAAATTTGCATCACGTCATCGATCTCACTTAATGGTACTATGAATCGAGCGCTACAATTTAAGTTTTTTGCGCTGTAAAATTTTCAGTGATCAGTTTCCTATAAAACTTTGCTTCGTTTTAGTGGAATGAGCCTTCGGCTCATGTGACTTATGAGGCACTTTATATTCCGATTTTATCCTTTTGATTTAATCTATGATATCGGTGACAACATACTAATATGTCTCGACGGCATTAGTTTATGATGGCCTCCACCGGATGTTTTATGATTAACAATTGCAACTCACCTAGGAGTTGCCTGCGTTAAAACTTCGAAAGTTTAGGTTACTGCAGCTGCATAGGTCACCATAGGTCACCAATTACACAAAATTGACTTTAGCATTTTGAAAATTTCCAGGTTAGACCACATTATGACACTGCTCTTTTAGCTGAACATACTTTCTAAATTTTAATGTGGATTGTGCGCACTGGCCAAAATGTCAAACAGTATATATATATACAATAAATTAAATCAAGTGATGCAATTGGCAGATCACAATCGTAGATCCTGAGCAATAGATATCATCTATCCCTCGTAGCTCTTGTCTTCAGGTATCAGGTTGAAGGAGACATTGGATATAGGGGCTAACCATGCCTTCTTTGCCTTTCAACGTACACCTCTAACTGCTACTATCACACTCCTCATTATATCCATGCTCAGGCGTGTCCTGATATTACACATCACCTGGCTGTAGTCCTCCTTTGTCTTGGTGGCTATCAACACAGCAAGTCTCCTTATGAAACGCTTGGCCTCAGGTGCCATTCCTTCTGTAGTGGTAAATACTAGAGGGACGAATGACCCTTTCTCCAATTGTAGCACTCGGTTCATGTACTGGTTCTTTTTCTCATTCTCGTGCAGAGTGTGGAGCTGTGGCATGGTCTTTCCTTGATGTGTAGGCGATGTAGGATTGAAAATGCGCACATCAAAGAAAGTCCTCTCAAATGTGCTCCACACTCCTCTTGCTGATATATCAAGCCTAGCCTTATTATATTAAATCAGCATTGTTGCCCTTCTGTTGGAAGTTGGCTGATTCTATAGGTGTAAAAAGGGGCTCAATCCTCACATCCTTGGTCACCAGCCTAAGGTATTCAGCAACGGAGTCTCTCACGTTGTTATGACGGTAGTTCACATACCCCTCTCTCTTAGGGGTCGTTCACATATTACGTAATCAGCCAAGGGGGGGGGGGGGGGAGTTTTCAAATGCTTACGGTTGATTACGTGGCGGGGGGGATTTTGGTCGTTAATTCTGTAATCAAAATTTTCGTTTTTTAAACCAATTGTCGTTTAGTAAGTGCTTTACGATTATTTCATTCATTAATCCATTGTGATAGCTTTTAATAAATAAATGGCTTAACATGGACATGTAAAAGATAGTAATAAAATTAAATCAGTAATAAAATTAATATAGGAGGGGGGTTGGGTCTTGATTAGGGGGGGGGGGGGGGTCAAACCTTGATTACGTAATATAGTGGGGGGGGGTAAAAATTGCCAAAATATTGATTACGTAATATGTGAACAACCCCTTACAGTTGAGGATATGATTGTGATCATTCTTGGCTCCACATTTAGCTGAACATACAGACTGTCCCAGTGACATAAAGTGAGGAATCTAAGAATCTAATTCCTAGCCATATTAATTTCCATAGCCACGCCGACTAATTTTTGTCAACAAAATTATTAAATCAACTTTAAAATAGTCGCTCTCGGTTGTTACACACTGTAACGCCGCGCACTGTACTTTAATTCTATATTTATCCGAGAAGATGTTCGAATCGAGCGCAAATGCCAGATTCCTGCAGATTCCTAGTTCTTGCACCTAACTTGCGCGTTACCAAATAATCCAAGATATTCCTGTCAGGATCCAAGATTTTCCTACTACCAGTATGGTAGTATGGACTGTTTGGTAGTATGGTAGTATGGTAGTTGCAGGAACGCGCGAAGACCTATATGTAAATATTACAAAAGCGTACATGGAATCGTAGCCTAGTTGGTTAATCCGTCGGTACTATATTAGCAGATCGCGAGTTCGAGACCCGGAAAGGAATTCTTTCACAATCTTTTGGCAATTATGAATAACTATACTAATGAATTAATAACTATACTAATGAATAACTAAACCTCTGTAATATAACTAGCAAAGTAAAATGAAACCGTTATTCGGCCGCGGAGCGGCCGAAAAATTTATGGTAGTCGTTTTAAAAATATATGGTAGCCGTTTTTTCTTTCCAGACTGGATTCCTAGTCCCTTTTTAAATTTATGTCACTGGGCAGACTGTACCTGTAAGCTTTATCTCTGGACAGTGGTTAAGTTGTCCTTACAGATGTTTATTCCACCTAAGCTTCAATTACATGGTGGAATTCTGTGGACTAGTATGTTCAGCTAAATGTGGACTCCTTAGGAATGTTATAAGGAGAAAATATCTCTTTAGTAAAGCTCAGCTCAAGCTTATAATTAACAGCATCATTGTCTGCAAATTGGACTACTGCAATGCTCTTTATTATGGAATTAGTGACAACCTCATCCACCAACTCCAACTCGTTCAGAATGCAGCTGCTAAAGCTATAGTAGGACTATATAAATATGATCATCTAGGAGACACTCTGAAAGACCTTCATTGGCTGCATATTAGTTACAGAATTCAATATAAGTTATTGCTTCTTGTCTATAAATGTCTTAATGGTATGGGACCAGATTATTTAAGTGATATGTTTAAATATGCCAATTATAATCATCTTATCTATTTGACTGAACCAAGAGTATATTCACAGTATGGAGAAAGATCGTTTCAGAAAGTTGGCCCTAAATTATGGAATGAGCTGCCTCTTGAAATTAAGAATTGCATGTCACTGGAATCTTTTAAAGTGTATCTCAAAACGTTTCTTTTTAAACGTGCTTTTGATATTAATTAATTTACTATTTTTCAACGTTTCTACTGTTAAGTGCATACCCTTAACCTTGTAATTTAGTGTATCAAGTCTTTACAATTTTCTATGGTTTGGAACCTAAATGTGGATTGCTTTTCAGGTTTTCTTGTATCCTGACTTGTTTTCGTGGCACACCTGTGCATTTTAAGTTGTTGTGCCACTATAATCTATAAGTTTAAATTATTATTATTATGGAATTTCGGCGTTTTATATTTGATTATCAGTTCAGACACACATTAATAATAAATCTTTTGCAGGTTTATAACCTACCAAGACGTGCGCCGAGTTGGACTTGTCGACGGCCTAATATTTGAAACAAATATTTTACGAGTATCACCCGTTAATAAATCTTCTGAATTTTTGAACAGTAAAGCTCATCGTATCTAATCTACAAAGTGACCTACACTGTAACCTAAACTGTTAAAAGTGCAACAAATTTCCATATACCGTGTCGAGTTTCTTGGATTCTACCGAAACCAATAGAATTTGCACAAGCCCTAGCTTTGTTATCTTATCGGGTTCTCACTTTGGTTCTTCCTGAAGAAAATGTAATCATATTCATATCGTAAAAATTATATTGGTTGAAACTTGACCGTATTCAGCAGCGCATCACCATTTTGACAGCTACAGTCTGTTCATGATTGATGATAACGGTTTTTTAAAGTATTGAATCAGTGCTGAGGCTCCAGCAAAGGTCAGATAGATATCATGCTTTAGCTCGACCTTGTTCAAGCTAGAGAAGTTTTCCAAGTCACTCGTTTTTTGGAATCATAAATTCGAGGAAATAGGGATTTCATCGAAAGTGCAATCCTGATGTAACAGTCTCAATGCCTCTAAGAGATCATTAAAAATTTGCGTAAACCAGCCTCAACGAAAGCTATTTGTACATAATATTATTATCCGTTGACTCATGTTTTAACTTTAAAGATACATTTTTTCACGTTTAGCTGATTATAAGTTCGATTTTTAAAACTTTATTTTTCATTACAGATGAATTGTAGAACTTCGTAACATCGCAAATTTATCATTCATGTGTGCAAACATTTTGCTTCATTGTATTGTAATACATTTCAGATCGTTACATATTGCATTTTTCTGGACTCAATTATAGTTTTAACAGGTTCTTGTGTAAAAAACTGGTTACCTTCTATCGTTACTGCTATGTTAATTGCGGAATAGGTTAAACGTATTCTAAAAGACTGTAATAGTTTCCAATGTGAAACACAAGATATTTCTCTATGTAATCATACATGATAAACTTCTCAAACGTAATTGAAAACTTTAAACTAAAATTCAACTGAGCTCTCCTGGTTGGATTGATCAGCAGGTAATGGTATATAACGTTGCAGGATTGAGGTATTATTGTTACAGCGAATTTCTTAACAAATCAATATGTAAAATTCTAGAATAACTCTCATAGAAGCTTTTATAATTAGACGGGTATAAGGACTGGTGTTGTTTAGCTAGCGATGAAGCAGGGTATACAATATTATGATTTTACAACATTGGATTCCAACACTTTACAACACTGTGTGTGTACAAGCTAAAATGACTACAAGCTATATTATGTAAACGTAGCTTAAGTGACTCAATTTGTATCTGTTGAGGGATTTCGATCGAGTTATTAGTTTGCCAAGATCAATTCATTAATTTACCAAGATTAATCGTCTTTAGTTTTTTATCAATTATCGACTACTTGCCATATGATACACTTTCCTTCCGATGGTGCGTCATGAAAAACGTTTGACCCTAGAATCATAGTTATGTGCATGTCGATCTTTTCACAACAGTACCAGGTGCACAAATCTGATAGAACGGGTATCGGCTAATAGTGCGGAAAAGTGCGGTATTAGGTCAATAGTGCAATTCTGCACACACCGCACTAATATATTGCCTCTGGTGCTCATATAAACGGAACAGGTAGTGTGCCTGCTGAACACAATACTGCAAGCCTATTTGTTTTATGATGAGACGTGTCCAGGTAGTGCACCTGGTATCTTATCTTGCAACTTCCAGAACAAAGGATATACAATTTCACGTTTGTATTAAGTCATTTCACCAGTTTATCTAGTTTGTTTTGTCACTGTCCTCTCCTATTATGAAGTCACTTTCTTTCTGCTTAATACTGTGCGGACTCCTTACTGTGGCTTGTGAGTATAGATTATCTTAACTATTTATCAGTTTCCCTAAATTCTCTATGTAGTTTACTGTTTAAAGATGTGTACATTGTACAAATACAATATGTACATTCAGTCGCTTCCATTGCCCCTTGCTCTATTAATACCAGAACAATGAGCACGTATGTTAATTGTAAAAGTTTGAACAAAAGAAATATAAAGTTACAAATGCCTTACAGTGTACACTTTAGTGATGGTAGATTGCGTTTTTGATTTCCCCTAAATAGCTTGTCACGTTACTTGCTAGACTCTAGAATGATCGTAAAGGGCAAGTCTTAAAACGATCTACCCGATCTCCTCCTGCCTTGTGTGTTCTGTAAATATCACGTGCTACTGGTAATTTGTCAAAATACTTCTCACAGATAAATCATCTGACACACAAATCAACATTTATTCATATGGCAATATAAAAATCTTTTTGCTCATAAGCCAGGCATACGTCATAGTTAACAGAACTTAATGTTAATTTGCCCAAAATATGTGATTTTATGTTTTGAACAAGGACATTTTAAATCAAATATATAATTTTTTTTTTACTCAAGTTATTATATAAAATGATCTAAGCAGAAGGTTTTAAAATGAACCAACTAAAATGTTCCCCATTTAGACATGAAGTGCGGTGGAACTAGTGACGCTAAACCTGCAAATGACGAGATTCGGGCTATCGTCACTCAGGTAAAACATTTGCACAGTTTTTATCCAATTCTAATTATTTTGGATAGTTTTCAATAGGGTGCCTCACTCTTATATACCTACCTGTATAATATATATATAATGCAAACAGTACTGAAAACCAATTAACTGTTTCTCCATAGGTAAAGGGTGCGGTTGAAGATCATGCTAAGAAATCCTACTCGGTGTTTGAGCCACATTCCTACACAACTCAAGTGGTTGCTGGAACTAACTACTTTGTCAAGGTAACTTTCTTTTTCTTAGGGGTCGTTCACATATTACGTAATCAGCCGAGGGGGGGGGGCCGGGGGGTTTCCAAATGATTACGGTAGTGTTATTTTGATACAATAGCTATGTGTAAAACTGATTACGGAGGGGGGGGGGGGGGTAAAAATTGTCCAAAAAGTGATTACGTAATATGTGAACGACCCCTTACCAAATATTTTAGGTCATTCTTTCAAAAATGCGGCAGAACTTGACACATTCTTGTTCCTACCCCACCCAGTTGAGTAACAGCTACTCAAGATAAGGTTCGAACATAGCACTTCCACTTCCCTTATTGCGGCGTATTTACCGTCTCGGCTAAAGCAATAAGGAACAAGTTATATAATACCCAAAGGCCAAAAGATATTGCATTTCTTATCTACATGAAAATATGTCCCTAAGATTGTTGTTCACACATCCACATGAAACTTTTAGTCGGGCTATAACATCCTTTACTTTGTTACGCTTATAAAAATATAAAAAATTGATTGCGGCAGTTATTCAAAATGTAAATTTAGAGAACTTTCATCAGATTTTTGACGTAAAACGTGATTCTATCGCAAAATCAGCTGACCGTACAAACATGATTACAAGCACGGTATATGTATGATCTCATTGATTTTTAGCTGTAGCTGTGTATATTAACCAGGTTAAAGTTGCTGATGATGGGGAGCACGTGCACCTAAGAGTACACAAGAGTTTACCTCATGCCGGTGGAGAACTTTCTCTACACTCTATTCAGCATTCCAAGACGGAGGCGTGCCCAATCGAGCATTTCTAGACTCTTCTACATAGATGTCTACAACTTATTAGAACTATTGTTATGTTACATTGAAACATGTGATTGTTTTGAAATATTTTTCTCAGACAGTATATTCTTTTCATTGAGTGTTGGTAGAATTTAGAGTGTACTAAATGTTTCAAATGTTTTCCTTCATAGATTGCTTACTTCTTGCATAATTTGCTTGCATTGTTTTCATAAAAACTATTTCTTTTGGGGAATTATCGATCGTTGATCTTTAATGCTGACGAATACATTGCATGTTTAACATTTTTGTAATTTCAAATTTGCATTCGGAATATGGAAATAATGTGTCTTAGTTCTGAATCAACAGCTGTAGCATGATCTACATAACATAATTGATTTATCACACAATCTAGGAGATTCTTCGGTGTGCCTAATGCAATAAGATGAGCCAGCTGTGGAACCATACACAAAATATTTCATTCGCAATGTAAAGCAATACCACCTGCTGGAAAGTGGAATATAGGGTGAAACTCAATCGCTAAATGCAATCTGGTGTAATTTTGAGATTGTGTTAGGCGGCTGAGCGCGGCGCCGAATGTAATTTTGCAGACTTATCTGCGCTGAAATCTAATTAACCAACGCGACGCGCGCGTGACACTACAGTACAGTACATATTATAATAAGAATCAAATTAATCATGTCATCCAGTCATCTGACAGAAAACTGTCGGCAGAGGGACTCTCTAGCCAGTGTACCGTGAGTCAAGACAAGGTGAACGGTCTATCTCCACAATAAATTCTAATTGCTAAGTTTAATCATTAAGTATGGTCTCCAGCGTTTTAAAACCACCATCAGGGATTAGGGATACCTCGTGCCGTAAATAACTTATGTCCAGGTTAAGACGGCAGCTCACGGGGAATTCGTACATTTGAGAATATTCGAGCATCTGCCCTGCTACGGAGGAGGCGTGTACCTTCACGGAGTTCTGCAACACCACGAGGTCGGGGATAGTGCGGTGGACTACTTCGACCAGAACATGAACTTTGACGAACCCCAGTGGGATTAGGATACACGATTTAGGGTCATATAACTTCATTTAGTCAGAGATTGTGATGTTAGATAGATGTTAGATTGTAGATTATAAATGTAGGGACCCTTTACCATATTATGGTTAAAGAATATTTCAACCGTCGATACTATTTCATTTTTATCAAACATTAAATTTGTTTTACTACTAAATGAAAATCGGTTATACTGCCTACGGGTTGCTGGAGACTCAGTGATACGATTACTTATCCATTTAATGTTTATGTCATATTAAGTAATAAGCATGAATCAGCAAAAAAATGTAACTGTAATGTCATAATTTAGTCAAACGCTAACAAGCATCCAATGCAAAAGAACTCATAGAATCACGATAAAAATAGATAAAACACAGGATCCAACCCCTGAGGCTTCCAACAAACGGGAAGTCATTATAATTACAATCAAGTATGGTACAGTTTCACATAAATATTACATTCTATATTCATAAATACTATCATATCTAAACTTTATTTCCTAAGTTTAACTTCCGTCTAACACTGGAATCACCCTGTCCTAAATTGCAATTAAATCGCGCGCAAGTTCGGCTTGGCGAGTGCCGGCAGGGCGAATGTTGCTGACGAGGCGAACTCCTGAGGGGAGATTGCTGGCGGTACGGGGAGTGCCGGTAGGGGGACTGAGTTTGGGAACTGAACAATGATTCCTGGGTGGCAGGTAGACCACTGTCGTTGGAGTTTTGTGTGAGCCGATCCATGTCTATAACTGGTTTGGTACGGGAACGAGGGGACATGGTGGATATCGGGGTTCTGGGCACCTGAAAACAAATAGTTGAGAACAAATAGTTGGAATAGATAGTAAGTAAGTTACGAAGTTGTCCTCGATAGATTACTTCCGCTCCACTGAAAAAAGCTTATCAAACTTCTTGGTGTGACCATTGCAATTTGCATCACAAGTTTCTTAAAGGCTTGGTAGGTATTATAGAAACCTGTTTAGGAAGGGTGAGTTGCAGGTGTTTCACTGTGCCCTTCACATTTGGGTGCTTCTCAATGAGACAATACAGTAACCTGAAATGGGGGAAATTATTGAACGTTGCCAGATATCATCACCCAATCATCAATTATCATTTACTCCACGCGGAAAGAAAGATTTTGAGATTGATTACGAAAACTAAAACTAACCTCTGATAGTACTTCTTGTATTTAGCAGCGGTGCTCTCTTTGCTTTGTGACACAGCTTTCTCGACGTATTCCAGAGCTTGTCTGTTGGCATTCTCTGCATACCTTAGCAACTCTTCTTTCATCTGACTGATGACTGACTCACATTGTGATCTTACAACGGATTCCTGGGAGATTTTATTACATAAGTTTCGAGTCCAACAGTGATCAGGGTAATGTTTGCTAAGATATCGAGCCGGGCCTTAATGTCAAAGCTTAAGGACAGCCGTCACTGTCTAAACTATGTTGTGACTGGTAGAGGCTCTCAAATCTCAGTTTAGAAAATAACACTTCGTGCAAATAACCGAGGTGCTACCCATCAAACATCTATACTTAAAGACTCTAACGGTGCCGCTAAGAAAAAATAATCCATTTGTCGATTAAGTTCGAAAATTAAGATAAGAAACTTCTATCGTTCTATCAACAATCGTGAAACGGTAAATTGAATAAAAATTAAAAGGCTGTTACCTTCTGACTACCCCTCTCCATCTTGTCTTTCAAACGCTCGATCTCGTTGCTGGAATTCTCGGATTTCTCCCTCAGCAGCTCTTCAGAGCACTTCAACTGATCGAACATGGCTGAGAGCTTGTCCAGCTCTAGTTTCTGTTTAAGTTCTCCCTGCATGTAGGTAGAGTTCTCAGAGCGTAACCGTGATATTGAATCCTTACAACGGTCCAAGTCCTGTTGTACTTGTGTCAGCCTGGGGAGGGGTGAGTTGAGTAAGGAGATTTATATTTATAGATCAAATGTCAGGGTTTTGCTTTCCTAAAAAATGTATCTAAAATTGTATTGTTGTGTTGCTCTCACCTCTTTTCACATTTAGAGGATTTGTCTCGCTCAGCTTTGAGAAGTCTGTTCATTTCGTTCTTGTACTCTTCGTTAGTACGTGATAAACTCTTTTTATATTCCAACTCCACTTTCCGCCGCATGTCCTGGGCAAACAGGACCATTCAGTATTCAGTTTGCTATGTTGACGAACAAATTACTTCACTTGAACTGGCAGAGCCGCAGAGCTATTAAGGTATGGCAGAATAAAATATTGTGACAACTGTTGGCAAATAAAAACCTCAGTTTTGCTGACAGTATCTTTTAATTGTGATTTGAGGTCCTCGACTTGCTTTTCACTCGATTTTGAAGCCTCTCTCAACCATTCGTCCTTCTTAGACCTTAAAATAGTGTCGAGGTCAGTCCTGTATCATAATTTTTAATCAGGCCTACTCAATCAGACAGTTTATCGAATAAACAACAAAGCAGGTTTTGATAAAAGTCTTTCTTGAAGTGTAAACCAGTAAATAGATCAAGAAATTTAATACTGTATCGATAAAGAACTATCCAATCCAGACTGTCCAGAAAAGCGAGTAGCTCTTCGGTGCCAAGTCGGTAACAATTAATTACTTACTTGACAATGATATCAACTCTGTTCCTCACGGTCTTCTCACTCTCCCGCTCCCAATGTGCCCTGGCAAGCGCCACAGCAGTATCTCTTGCCAAAGATAACTCAGACTCCCGCTCTTTCTGCCAGATATCACGGAAGTGAGCCTCTTGCATACTGTCTAAAACTTGTTCTGTCTGGCATCCCCGATGGGTCATCTGAAAGTGATCGTTGAAATGAACGTGGCCAGTAATTCTTATATAAATATTTTGTAAATAAGAATCTTGCGTCTTTCTTCGACTGAGAACAAAGCAGGTCTCGTCAAATCAAACAAACTGTAATTTGATGAACAGCGGCGGGTTTTCTTGTAAAGCGGCCAACAAGGTAATTAAATCTATAACAACCTTTGTTATCTGGAGATAATTGGCCCATTTCTCAGTTTCATAGCACTCACTAGGATACGATTTGCACGACTCATTAGGATATAATCTAAAATTATAAGCCCCTCACTCCTGATTTGCTTCTAAGTATTCTAATAGAAATAGGTTAGAAAAAAACTTAGCTTACCATTTTGTAAACGTACGAAACCATAATGTTGTCAAATAAATAGAGCAAAAAACAGCTGATTAAATAGGATACTGAGTTCGAACAAAGTCGCAATTTTACACACAAGTATGTACAAATGTACAATGCAAATAATTAAAATACAAGATAGGCCATGATTTATGTGAAGAATTAAGGATCTTAATGGTCTAAAGTAATTCTACCCTCAGCTGAAGGATGTGACAATGTATCATACTAAACTGCGGTCTAGGTTCCAATGCTGCAGCCTGCACTGCTGCACACCCGTTGGACAGGAGTAATCCTACAAATTTCAATAAATCACAATGGCTTAATTTGATCTTTATATTTAAGTAGTAGGCAGTTGTAGAGGGGATGATGCAGAGTGGTGAAATTTCCGTCGAGGCGCCCAGGCGCAAACCAAAGACGATTATAATTTTAATTATTCGGACAACCAAAAAGCGGAGACTGTCCCAACAGAAGAGAGGCAATAAAAACTACTCCGAGATTATGTTCTATAAAAAACTGTATAAGTATCATTTAAAAAATGAAAAACTTGGCTGAATCATTAATAGTTGAAAAATTCAGAAATCAAATGAATTTCCTGAGATCAGTCCGGCAAATTATGATTCATTTCTTATGAATTCACACTGGTAGTTGATATATGCGATGGATTGAAGCCACTTTAGGGGTCGTTTACATGTTACCTAATCAATTTTTATGCAATTTTTATATAGTAATGTAATTTTTTTTATACATTTTTATATAGTTATACAATTTTTCTGAAATGTTATGAAACTTCCGACCACTGGTTAATGTCCGAAAATTTATAATTTGTCTTGTAAGTTTCGAAATCTCCGATCTCGAGCACCTGCTATTGGACCATGGGATTTGAAGCTAAGGACCCGGCATGTAGCCAGATTACCCGACATCAGATCCCGAGACATCTTTTTCAGCCCCGGGATCCAAACATAAGGACACGGCATGTTTAATTCAATTACCCGAAATCAAATTTTTAAGAAATTACATTTTTTCCTGAAACTTCTTGAAATTTTCGGTTGATATCAGGCCAAGCACGTTCTAAACCGGACTGGAACCAAATTACAAAACAAATATTGAGGACAGATATCCGGCCACAATATTTCCTCCCGGTCTCAAAGTTCAAACAAATAAAGTTATGCCACAAAAAAACAAAGTTGAATCCCAGGAGTATGACCACTTCCTGAACTCTCGTCTTATCTTATCATAACACTTGTTCTTTTTACCCACATATTCAAATCTTAACCCTAAACATCCTCGCACTTCAGATGTTAATCTCAGACCGGCGTTAATGCTGTGAGATAATCTAATCCCTGTATAGCCACACACAGTGATTGAGTCATTGGACATGAACTGCTTGATTGATAAGGATTATTTTAGTACGTAGAAACAGTAATTTGATGAAGGTCCAAAATTCATCGTACAAATGTCAGGGCAAGTCAAATGTCGGTATCCCAATAAGTACTGAACTCAATTTATGTTAAGATGAGCTGTGAAACAGTTTAAGTGATCACATGGCATGAAGTTTCGGTACCCCTCACATTAATGGTTTAAAATAGGGGCAGCTTTTAAATGTGAAGTCGTGGCTTCCTACGAAATTGCCCGTTGGTGTTGAATTAAATCGCTGCTGCGCGCGGCGGCAGCGAAAAACTACACTAACACCCGACCACAATCTACCTGGCACGTTAAAATGTCGCCGCTGCCCACGCAAAATAGGCTTTGAGCGCGAAATTTAACCGCCATAATCTTGTACATGCTGTACATTAACACAACATGAAAATTGATACTCTTCCAATAACCATTGTACGTTTGATTGTATATAACAATTCGAAGAGAATTCTAAGCAAACGAACCTCTAGAATGCAAAGAGTAGACACATTCGTACTTCCACTCCAATGTTTTTGAGAGTTTTCTATCTCAGATTCCAACCGTTTCTCGAAATCTTGTGTGAGTTGAGACTGTATTCTCGTTTCTATCTGGAGTCGCTCTTCGGCTGAAATTTGCCATGAAGTGGAACATTCCAAGATAACTAATCTCTAATACAAATTGTCTACATTCTACAAATCAGAATGCCACAGTACTGATTACCTAAATAACTCAGCTAAAACACATACCAAAAGACATGAGCATGTCCTCCTCCTTTTGAATTAGCATTTGTTCCCTCTCCTCATCACACCGAGCTTTAACTTCTCTCAGCTGGGTTAACACTTCATCTGATGCCTGCACGGGTTTAGTTTCATTATCCAGGAGAAAGGGAAACAGTTTCTGTCAAATGTTTCTGTCAAATGTTTCTGTCGAACGTTTTTGTCAAACAGTTTCTGTCAGATTTTTCTGTCAAACAGTTTCTGTCAAATGCATGACATAGAAAGCTTCGACAACCAAAAACAGGAAATTGAAGACGAACCCTTTGTTGGAAGTTTTCCAATCTCTTGTCGTAATCTGTCTTTAATACTTCCTTTTCTTTGCTCAAACTAACATACAGTTCCTTGTTCTTGTCAACTTCTTCTTGCAGACTTGTTGACTTCAATCTATAGTATCGTTAAAATATTAAAACATTACCACACCACACTAGTCCTAGAAAGATTATATTTAGATTTGGATGTACAAGTCCAGGAAATCAATAGATATACATTATACATTATACAGTACATTATAAATCGTATCACACTAAACAACAAATCCCACCTGTACTCCTCGATTTTATTTTGTAGACCGTGTTTGTCGAGTCTAGAAGTTTCTTCAATAGCTCTCATACGTTTCAGTGTATTGGTCTGATCTACTAGTGTTTGCTCACAACGCTTCTCAGCTGCAGCTAGTTTCTCCATTGTCTCTGAAAGTGGAATGTTTAAATGAGGTCATGTTAAATGATATCATCGCAATCTTGAGGCAATGATGCTGTTTTGTTCCGCCAATTAAATCAGTTTTTGATACTTATCTTTCTCGTTTATTGGATCCTTAGAGTATTTTTGTTTTGGCCAGTTTTTTGATTTAAAGTCACGATGTAATATGGAGCTATTGTACGCATAAACAGGCAGTATTATATGGTGTTGTACAAATAGCTGCATTTTACACGTTGTACGTGTTTAGGTAAACTATATATATTTAACTATTTTATTATATAAATATTTAACAAATAATTTGAGTATTATTATGTAATATGATGGAAGTCCTTTAACCAGATGCAGTCACACCCTGACTCATAATATGAAGGACTTGTTTTGATTCTAAATTAAAAGCACAAATATTCGTAAAACACCCTTACTTGGTTTACATATTTGATAACAATATGTAATCTCACCTCAACTACCACACAACAAATTAGTGTTTTTATTGGGTATGCTATTAAAAGAATAACGTGTACAATAATTTGACCAAATTGACTTTGATTGGGAAATTCAAAGCAAGTGTATTCTTTGAGATTCAAAGCATTTTTGATGAAAAAGTCTTTTGAAAAATACCGCCAAACTGAGCTCTCAATCTAGAATGTTCTAAACAATCATCTAAGTATCCTTCTAATTTTGCGCTTCAATATCTTGCACTTCTCAGCCTGAAACTTCTGGGCCACTAATGACTCAAATTGTTATGGTCGTGCGACTTATATTATCCCACGTGCGACTTATATTATCCCACAACTTTATCGACTCAATTTGTGTTATCAGCTCATGGTTGCATGAAGTGCCCATAAAAGTAAGATTGGGCAGTATTCTAAAATAAATATTGGAATTATCTTTGACACCTTGAATGTCTTATCTGAACAAACACAGGTACCACCAATTAATTAATTAATATTTTTCCCGGGTAGCGGCTAGTAGACATCTCATTTCCACTTATCCTTGCTATCTTACGTTACGCCATGTTACTCTGTTTGTTGCTGCTAGGAGTGGCTGCTCACTCTGTCACTGCCCTACAAGCTAGGTGTACCATGAAGCTTCACAAAAATGGTACAAAGATAGGTACAGTTATCTTCACCAGCAATGGAAATAAACAGCGTATAGAAGCGTACCTGAAGGGAGACCCCGATGTAATCACCAAGGGATACCACGGGTTACACATTCACAGTAACCCAGTTAAAAGGAATGATTGTAGCGCAGCCTCCACTGGTGGCCATTTCAACCCCGAGGGAAGCGACCACGGAGGGCTGCATTTTCCATCAAACTCGAGACATTTGGGGGATATTGGAAACGTTCGTGCTGGAGAGAGGGGAGAAGTAAATCAAGTCCACAAAATAACAGTAGATCCACTAGCGGACGAAGTAGGTTCTGGTATGATAGAAAGTCTTTTCGTGTGTGCAGCAGAACCATTCATGCTCTGGCCGGACGGTCGCGAGGAGAGGATAGTCGATCTGGAGAAGGCGGAAAAGAAGAGAAAAAGAGCATTAAAGAAAGGAAAACCTACTTATTCGATTGTTCTGAAGGAACCTGATTGCTACCAACCAGTATGGAACCGTGACACTTTCACATTAAACAGTGCCAAGTTTGCTCTGGAGGGAAAGCAATCGATCGTGGGAAAAGCTGTTGTCTTGCAAGGGAGAGAGGATCTTTGGAAAAGAGGGGGAGATGGAAACGAGGATGTAGGAATAGCATGCTGTACACTGAAACTAGTTGAGGAGGAGGCTTGATGACACCACACCCAGGCAAAGGACTCACGTGTTTCATAATTATACGGACATGATTTAAATAAGTGTATCTGATTTTAATTGCTCGATAGCAAATTTTTATATTGAATAATTTTTTAGTGTTTTTTGAAAATTTCGATTTCAATGTTTTTGTGATGAAAAAAAAAACACTCCCAATGGAACCAGAATACTAAGGTTAATCACACGAGTTACAATGTTTTCAATGTTTTCTGTACCTCGTTCTCTGGAGACAGCTTGGTCAGCTCTATGTTCACTATCATTTATACTGCCATGCACCTCCTTCATCTGCCCCTGTAGCCTCCCAACCTCAGTTTGAAGATATGAGATGGTACGGTCTTTAGAGTCTACACTGCTCTTAGCTTCTTCTTCACAACGCTCAGAGTTTACCACTCGGTCCTGCAGGGGGTGGGGTTCAGGGGTGTGTAACCAGTGTAATGTTTTACAAATACATTTGTTATCAAAAATATATTATCTGTAAATTTTAAAATAAAAGTCGTTTTGATTCAATTGACCCAAGTTGTATTAATAAGCACAGCAGATGTTTAAAAAATCATGTTTCACAGCCCATGAGACGTTCCACGGTATTGAGTAAGAGCAGGTATTGAGTTAGAGCAGGTGCCCACAAACAAACTAACAAAATGTCACAGCTTCCTAACCTGAAGCTGTGCTGCAGTGTGACGGAGCACCTCACACTCGCTCGTCAGATCAGTAATGTGTGACGCGAGCGTGCGCGGGCTCTCTTCACTCTCACACAGTCGCTGGGTGATCACACTTAAATGTGTGACCAGCTCTGTTATTTCACAGCTGTGTATTTCTGTTACCAGCGGTCTGGGGTAAAGCCATGATTAGGAGATATTGTAACAAGTCTACGTCTTTATTTTGTAATGTGGTATTGATGGAGCCAATCTTGGTAAGCAAAAATGATGATGCACAGATGACGTATTGCACATCTTTAAATTAAATTCATAAATTGGTTACGTTGATTCAGCTAAGATGAAACAACAATTTGACAACACAAAGCCATCTAGAGTCAGTAGATATTAACTCTACAACACCACCCTTTAACTCACAGATTAGCATCCACAATGTTCATCTTGGGAAGGGTAATAAGAAGATCCTCCAGACCGTGTTTGATATTCTCCTCCTTCTGCTTCAGGTCCTGTTCCAGGGATGTCATCTTGTTCTTCACACTGTTCTGTAATTCTACCCTTAACATCTCTATCTCCAAATCCTGAGAGTCGGACAGAAAAATGAAGCAATGCTAAACAGAGTCTTTTGAGATCGTAAATTTTGTCCATACAGCGATATAAAATTGTTAGATCCGTCATCCGAGACCCGAGTTTGTTGTTATTTAATATAAGTTAACATTAAACTCTATCGGATTCCAAACACTGAAGACTCTAATATCTCTTTAAAATTAATGAAACCTTTTGAACGATGTCACGTTTACATCCATCAAGTTTCTTCTTTCCCTCCGTTATCTCCCTTTCTTTCATTTTGTTAGTTTTAGCAAGCATTTCTTCGTAGAATTCAGTATCTTTTTTAGACACGCTGTCTTTTAGCTGATAACTTAGCCGGTCTATTTCACTGTTTCTCTCCTGAATTCAAAAAATAATGTTATCGTTTAATAATGTTTTAAAGGCAGTAATCTGTCGATTTAAAATTAAACCACAGTTTAGTTAGCAAACTTAGAATACGGTTACTTAGCACACAGTTACTTAACACACGGTTACTTAGCACACGGTTACTTAGCACACAGTTACTTAGCACACGGTTACTTAGCACACGGCTACTTAGCACACGGCTACTTAGCACACGGTTACTTAGCACAATGTTACTTAGCACACAGTTACTTAGCACACAGTTACTTAGCACACGGTTACTTAGCACAAGGTTACTTAGCACACAGTTACTTAGCACACAGTTACTTAGCACACGGTTACTTAGCACACGGTTACTTAGCACACAGTTACTTAGCACACGGTTACTTAGCACACAGTTACTTAGCACACAGTTACTTAGCACACGGTTACTTAGCACACGGTTACTTAGCACACGGTTACTTAGCACACGGTTACTAAGCACACGGTTACTTAGCACACGGTTACTTAGACAAGGTTACTTAGCACACGGTTACTTAGCACACTTTTAATTAGCACAAAGTTACTTAGCACACGGTTACTTAGCACACGGTTACTTAGCACATGGTTACTTAGCACACGGTTACTTAACACACAGTTACTTCGCACACGGTTACTAAGCACACGGTTACTTAGCACAAGGTTGAATAGCACACGGTTGACGCACAAACTTTAACTCACGGCTGACTCACGGTAAACACACGGCTGACAGTTGACACACCTGTGAGTATACCTGTAAACATTTTAAAAGTCACCTTGATGCAAAACTTGGCTGCGTTTACTTGAGACGTTTAAATGGTTCATAACACTGCAGTTGGTAAGAAATAAGTATACGTTGAAGCGTGAAATTAGACTTTGCCATGCACCAATGCCTCCCTCAAGCTTGATGATGTATTGAGATTATAAGGTGTGCATGACAAAATACACATACACATTACACGTTACTAAACTGTATGCTCGAGTAAAGTCTTGAGTAAGAGCCTCTTTACATTTCAAACTCAGTGAATAATACTCTGCCGTCAAGTTGCGTGTTAAACAAAGTTTGAGCTAAAAAACGCGGCGAATTGTAAAAACAAAAACTTGGCTCACATGCGCAAATATAAATTCCTTTGGATAAAGAATATTATATATGTTTTTGCACCTGAAGTTGTAGCTGCAGAGTGACGATATGCTCGTTAAGTTCGCTGTTATTCGTCTCGTGGTTCTCCTTATCGTACTTCTCTCTATCTACTGTTTCTTCTAATTCTTTAGCTCTCAGTGCACTCTGTGACAACTGGTATTTGGGAGGTTAGTGGAGAGGGCAAAAGTTTAATAGTTGAACTAAAATCCGTTATTATAGAAAAATTTAAATATCGTCCATTAACTCTGGGAACTCTAGATCTGGAGTTCTCACAGTTTGATTAGTTTTCCACAAATCGCTGGTTCCCCGACGTAAAATTGAACACCAAACACTAACCTGTGATTCAAGAATGTCTTTCTCGGTCTGGAGAAGCCCAACTTTGTGCTGAAGCTGATGTATTTGCTTAGTGTAGGTGTCCTGAGTGTCTTGTAGCTGGGTCGTTATCTGATCCAGTTTTCTAAACATGAACAAAGTGTTAATTCGGCTAACAGGCTATTAGCTACATAATAATAATAATATCAGTTATATAATAAATAAATATAAGAATAGAGTTGAGTGTTAGATCCTTATCTTTTAAATTCAAGTTGGAAAACTCAAGGATAAAAGTTTCATTTTGATGATAAGAAAGAACAGGGCCTCAGAGAGCGAGGGATGAAGCAAAGAAAAGAAGGCTAATATAGAGAAGGCACTAGATATGACCTCTGGTTAGCTCTATATAAAGCGTTGAGTTGTTCAGGTTGGTGCACAACATCAGATCCATCATTGAACACTTCACTATCCAACGGTATACTGACTCCACAATCTGGACTTCCACTGTAAAATATAGTTTTAAAAATCAGTTTTGGTTATGTTCAATGATAAACGCTGGACCTCGAAATTTTGTTGAGTGATAGACGTCATTAAACATTGTATACAATATAGATGCTGACTTTATGGCCGAGATCTAAGAAACGCTAGCTGTGCTGAATTGTCGTTTAGGATATATTACAGTGTTCTCTCATATCGTACACTACCATTATTAGTGCATGATATACACTGATTAATTCTCCATAGATATTAGATATTATGTATGATCGACGATCATACATCAATGATGAATGATCATCTCAACCTGTTAATTGAAAGCAAAAACAAAAATTTCCTGGTACAAGAAAATGGCTTTCATAATTATTGGAAATAAAATCTCACCATTGGCTGTTCCAGTCACTTTTATCGGCCCCTACTGGATAATAATCGTCTCTGCTCAGCTGAAATAGAGGTTAGTAATTAGTAATTAGTAAGTAGTATTAGTAATTAGCATTTAGCAAACATTCAGTGATATGGATACATCATGAACAAATACTAATTACAGTACCAAGTACTGTGTATGTGGAATTGAGTGATGATATTATGTAGTGCTCACATGTTCAGTGTTGTTTCCAGTAACCTCGCTGCTCTCCCTACTATCGTAAGTACCGCTCTCAAATCCAGGTCCTGGACCCGGGAAGTTACCAGGGTTACCAGGGTGGAAGGAGTAAGGAGGGAAGGGAGGACCGTGGTAGGGGTTGTGGGCGTGGTACGGTGCTGGCATTGCGTACGGGTTCACTTTAAGGTATGGATGGAGAGGTTGTGGGGGTTGTGGCACGGGCCACTGTCCTCCGTTGTGTTGGAATGTGTGCTTCAGATTCTGAAAGAGAAAGGAGTGTATATTCTGGATATCATTTTAGTTTTGGTCAGTCCAATCTCCATTAAACACTGGTCAAAATTAAATAACTCTTAAATTAATTAATAATGTAGTGAATCATATAATATAACACAACACACACTCTATATAATGATCAAACTGCTTACACTTTGGGTGTTAAGATGACTGTTAAACACATTTTTACTGCTCATGTTGCTGTAGTTGTTATGATGAGTCTCGTTGTTATGATGAGTCTCGTTGTTATGACTACTGCTGTTGTTTTCGTGACTTGTGTTGTTGTTAGTTATGTGGTTACTATTGTTATTCGGAGGAATGTTCTCCTCATCCGGCTCCCAATCATCATAATCTTCAATGTCATCGTCCAGTGCTTTGTTTAGAGCGTCTCTTATCTGAAAACGTGGATATAAATAGTAAATAGCACGATGAAAACTAATATTCCTCTTCAGCCATTCACAAAATCAGATTCTATATCCACACCGGCTTAAGAAATAACTATAATTATGTACGATATTTCAGATCGACTTCTCCAATATAATATAGGATATTAATAATGTTTATGTTACAAGTATATCTGACCTCGTCTTCACAAGGGTTATCATCCTCTGTGTTGTCGTCAACTATTGTCGTCGTGTTTTGAAACATATTACTGTTAAATACTTCGCTCTCAATCATCCTTTAAAGGTTTTTGGGAATAATTTTATTTCATTATTAATTAATCAATAATTATTCTGTTACTGTAATTACATATGTTTTCCGAAAATAAACAGATATAGTTTCCGTTCGCACATTACAGTATCCAATATTTTTCAAATAACAGAGCAAACTTGGCCTGTAGCCGTGTTGCGGGTGTTTTCTTGATAACAACGCTGATATTTACTTTAAGATTTGGAGTTAATTCAACTTTAATGGAAGCACAGAAATCAGAATATCATTATTATAAGAAATTATCTATGACAATATGAAACTTAACCCAGTTTAAACTGTACAATCTGCAGACAATAGCGAACAAAAGTTAGCTTCCCATCGCATCACCAAAATAAGAAAACGATAAGGAAAAGATTTTTTCAATATTTCATCTTATACCATGCCACTGCAACTGTAAAAATTAATTCAAATATAATGTCAAATAAACAAAACAAAAAATAACGTACAAATTCTGGATATTAAATATATTTAAAGCACAAACATATCTTAAAACTTATTAACACATTTTACAACGGAAATGGTACAAAACTTGTTGGTTTTAACTGAATTAGATAAGCATGTCTGCAGTGAATTAGTTACAAATCTGCTGATGAATTAAGCTCTTGTAGTAAGGAAGACAACTGCTATGGAGACAACAGATGTGAACTGTTTAGATAATGTTTATTAGAGTTGTTGAGAAGTTTGATCAATGTTTCATTGGATAATACCATACTGAGCTTGAACTTTGCATCTGTATTCCCTCTCTGTAAAGTTGTTTGCTAACTGCGACAAAAGATTGGTTGTTAAGTTGGCTTATCTTTATGCATTTGAATGGATTAAGTGTGAAACGAAATTTTATAATTCAATTAAAAAACAAAATTCTAATAAAAAATATAGATTTTTCAAGAAACCAAGCTAGGTGAAAAGATCAAAGGTTGATTTAGGCTCGAAGGTCAATCATTCAAGTGTGACACAAATAATCATGTTATAATTCAGTTAAACACTTTGAGTAACCTACATCGGAATTCTGTATCCAGTCTGAACTGAGCTCCTCTATCTTAATGCATTCGCCTAGCTTCACATCCATATTGTTACACAGATGGTTTGCTTTATCTGTTGCTACTCTACAGGCATTGGTAAATGTTCTTTTACTGGAAAGAAGATTAGAAAATAAATATACCTGAGCCACATCTTGCTTTTGTCGATATATAACCGATATAATCAAATAACTTGAAAATTGACAGCCAAAGTTATCATAGTATATGAAACCTTGTCTCCGCTAAAGTTATCAAAGTATATGAAACCTTGTCTCCGCTAAAGTTATCAAAGTATATGAAACCTTGTCTCCGCTAAAGTTATCAAAGTATATCAAACCTTGTCTCCGCTAAAGTTATCAAAGTATATCAAACCTTGTCTCTGCTAAAGTTATCAAAGTATATCAAACCTTGTCTCCACTAAAGTTATCAAAGTATATCTAACCTTGTCTCCGCTAAAGTCTTTTCCTTAAACCCGTATAGTGTATCATGTAGCTTAATACTATTGTCAAGTTTCTCTACAAATTTGTTTCGAAGAGTATCAAGTTTTTCTGTTGAGCTTAGAGTAACTCTAGTTTCTGAAAATGTAGCAATTAGGTTTTGAAATCATTTTGTTTTGAAATGAGGTCTTAAATACTGTATTTTCGGTATCGAATCTAACATTAGATAAGTATGGGATTGTTCACATATTACGTCAGCCAGAATGTGGGCGGGATTGGGAAACTGTTATTTATGCACAGGGTGGGGTCTGAAAAAGTCAAAATCTAGTCTACGTCCCAGTGACATAAAGTGAGGAATCTAAGAATCTAATTCCTAGCCATATTAATTTCCATTAATACATAGCCACGCCGACTAATTTTTGTCAACAAAATTATTAAATCAACTTTAAAATAGTCACTCTCGGTTGTTACACACTGTAACGCCGCGCACTGTACTTTAATTCTATATTTATCCGAGAAGATGTTCGAATCGAGCGCAAATGCCAGATTCCTGTCAGGATCCTAGTTCTTGCGCTTAACTTGCGCGTTACCAAATAATCCAAGATATTTCTGTCAGGATCCAAGATTTTCCTACTACCAGTATGGTAGTATGGACTGTTTGGTAGTATGGTAGTATGGTAGTTGCAGGAACGCGCGAAGACCTATATGTAAATATTACAAAAGCGTACATGAAATCGTAGCCTAGTTGGTTAGTCCGTCGTTACTACATTAGCAGATCGCGAGTTCGAAACCCGGAAAGGAATTCTTTCACAATCTTTTGGCAATTATGAATAACTATACTAATGAATTAATAACTATACAAATGAATAACTAAACCTCTGTAATATAACTAGCAAAGTAAAATGAAATCGTTATCCGGCCGCGGAGCGGCCGAAAAATTTATGGTAGTCGTTTTAAAAATATATGGTAGCCGTTTTTTCTTTCCAGACTGGATTCCTAGTCCCTTTTTAAATTTATGTCACTGGGGTCTACGTAATATATGAAAGGTCCCCTTGTAAATGTGTTATTGTGTTGTGTAATATAAATTTTTGTGAGCATTATTATAAATGTCACAAGGGTTGTGGGAACTGTAGAACCTTTGATAAAAGTGAACATGTCACCAGATTTTGCCATGAGACAATTCTCCCGCACATCTTTACCACCATCATTAATACAGGATTGGGAGATATATTTTTGTCTTTTATCTACACTGTCCCTGAAAGCGGAATTGTTATTGTTATCATACAAATTTTCAATGAAATCGTCAATGTAACTGCATTTCAGCAAAGCAAGAAGCAGTGAAACTATTGTGTAGTAGTTTTGAGAACATGATGTGACTCAAAAGAAATACCTGGCCTCATCTGCTGTTGGTTTTGAGCTTGAGCATGAAATCGCGAAAACAATTCGATCAGTGGAAACCACTTCTCCATAGCTTCCAATTACTGTAATGGTCTTATCCATAAGCTAAAATAGATTATTTTAGTTACAACACATGATTATTTATTACTCAAAAGTAAGTGTTTAGGATACAAGGATACAAGGAAACAAGGATTCAAGGATACAAGGATAAACCAGCTTCTGTTCAGTAACCTATAGCAGTAAACATTATGTATACATTATGCATCATTTGGAGGGATCCTTCTTGAACAGCCTTAGTTGTTGTGGCACGGACACCATCTTGTAGTTCATGCGACAGGCCAAACAGTTCTAGGGGTGGTTGTGGCTTAATGATAAACCAAAAAAACTAGCTTACACAGAATTAGTTATGGATAGTAAGCTTGATAACATTGAAGCATTATGGGTGAAGCTTAAGAATAGCAAGATCAATGTTTGCTGCTTCTATCGCTCTGGAAATTATTGCAGTGTTGATAACTTTATTGAGTACATTCATTTTTGCATGAAAAAATTGAACGGGAAAAAGGTTATCTGGATTGGGGATATAAACATTGACCAGAATAATATCTCATCCACCCAGTACAAAAAATTAGATATGACCTTGAGATGTTACAATCTAGTTCAAACCATTCAAGGGATAACTAGAGTTGCTAAACGTGGAGACAATTTTACCCAGACTACTATTGATGTAATATTCACTAACTGTTATGCAGATTTTGTTCAATCTTCTGTTCTTGATGAACGTATTGGGGATCATCAAGCTATTATGTGTGATATAGATTGTAAAGTACCTATAGCTCCTAAATTTGAAAAGGTTGAAATTAGAAATCATTGTAAACGTAATGTTAAACAATTCTTAGACTATCTAGATACCTGTTCTGATTACAGTCCACTATTGGAAAGTACAGATGTTGAAGCTATCACTGCTGGCCTTTGTCATCATATTGAACAGGCATATGCAACCTTCTTCCCTTGCAAGACCATAGAAAGGCATGAAAAGTTCATACATAAACCTTCTACTGAACTTTTAAATGCCATTAATCATACACATTTTCTTCTAAAGAAATTCCGTAAAAAGAAGGATAAGAGAGACAATGGAAATTGCAATAAATGTGGTACATGTAGCAAATGTATAAAGTGTAATGAGGCCTGGGATTGCTACAAGATTCAGAGAAATATTAGAAATAAATTAGCTAAAACCTGCAAAAAGGCTAATGTAATCGATGATCTACAAGTTAAAAGTGCCAAGAATGATCTTAAAGGGGTATGGAAAACTATCAAACTGGCATCAAATATGACCCCTGGTACAACTAATTGTCAAACTATCAATGAGAATGATCCTGAGCTATTTAACTTTCATTTTGCAAATGTTGGATCAAGATTACAAAATCAGGCCCCCAATATTGAAAGAGTTAGTTTTACTGATTTTTTACCTCCTAGAACTTCTAACATCTCATTTGATAGATTCCAAGAAATAAATGAAACTGATATCCTAATGTATGTCGAAACGATCAAGAATGACAAGGCCTCATATGACGATGTGCCTCTATTCTTACTTAAGCAAGCTGTACCACACATAGTTGAGCCACTGACCCATATTGTCAATTTGAGCCTTAATACAGGTGTTGTACCAACCCTTTGTAAAAAAGCTAGAGTAACTCCCATCCATAAGGCAGGAATGAAAGATGATCCTAATAATTACAGGCCAATATCCATCCTTCCACTTGTAGGAAAACTTATAGAATACTTTGTCGGCAAGCAACTCACTGATTACATGGAAGAGAACAAACTTTTTATCCGGCATCAATATGGCTTTCGGAAAAATCACTCCACAACTTATTTGATGTATACTGCAGCTGACATTCTTCTTGACCACTCTGAACCATTTCAAGGTGAAGCCTGGAGCCAATTTGAAACCATAAGCGACAATGATCTCAAAAAGATTCTTTCTGACCTTAACAAAAAAGAATGTGAAGAGGATCCCATCCCTCTAAAACTTCTAATGCAGTGTTTTAATGAAGTTAAACCAATTGTGTCATTTATTATCAATGACTCACTTGTCACTGGAAAATTTCCGTCAGTCCTAAAGAGTGCTCTTGTCAGACCAGCCATCAAAGATGATAAAGGAGATGTCAACAGCTTCAACAACTATAGACCGATTAGTAACTTACCTTTCCTCTCGAAACTCATTGAAAAGAGCGTCCAGAAACAGATGACCAAACATCTTGACTATCACAATCTTCATGCTGAGCATCAAAGTGGTTATAGGTCAAATCATAGCTGCGAAACTGCGACCCTTACCATCTACAATGATCTTCTTTGTATCAGTGACATGAAAAGTAAGGTTATCCTCCTCCTTTTGGACCTCAGTGCTGCTTTTGATACTGTAAATCATCACTTGCTCCTAAAAAAACTAAAAAAGGACTTTGGTTTTGAAGGTACTGTTCTCGAATGGTTTACATCATACCTTAATAACAGATCCTTCACAGTAACTATTGATAAATCAAGATCAAAGAGATGCTTCCTTAGAATTGGAGTCCCGCAAGGTTCAATTCTAGGTCCAATTCTGTTTATACTTTACACAAAGGAGCTCAATCAGATCGCAAAGAGACATGGATTTAACATCCACATGTACGCAGATGACACTCAACTGTACATTGAGTTTAACCCACTATTTCGAGATCTCTCAACAATCGAAGAGAGAATAACAAATTGTTTTGAAGATATTAAGACCTGGATGACCCAAAATAAACTCAAACTGAACCAAAACAAAACAGAAGCTCTTGTAGTACAGACCAAGAACAGTTACTCTTCATGTCCAGTCGATTCAATACAACTTGACAATGCAGCTGACCCTGTGGATGCATCCCGCACAGTGAAAAGTTTAGGTGTCCTATTTGATCAATTCCTAACATTTGAAGACCAAATAAATTCAATTATCAGTTGCTGCAACATCCATCTGAGAAACCTTCGAGTTATAGGCTCAAAGCTTAACTATGATCTAAAAAGACAGCTCATTCACTGCTTGATCTTTTCAAAACTAGACTACTGCAATGGACTCTTATACGGTTTACCTGATCTTCTAATAAAGAAACTCCAGAAGGTACAAAATTCCTGTGTTCGATTCTTGTTTGGTTGGAAAGCTATCAAAAAATGGGACAGTGTCACTCCATTCCTGAAAAAAGCCCATTTTCTTCCGATACGACAACGAATAGAGTATAAGATTGCTCTAACCGTGTTCAAATGCGTTAACAACATAGCGCCGGAGTATATCATCAAATGTATTGACATCAAAAGTCAACCTGTACGTGTACTAAGAACTGAAGAAGACTATTTCCTCCTAAATGTTCCTCCTATTTCAAACTATAGTAAAACCGAGAGAAGTTTCAGCTACTGCGGACCCTCTGTTTGGAATAAGCTTCCTTATCAATTGAGAACACTAACCGATATCGTCTTATTTAAAAAGAAACTAAAAACTCATCTCTTTGAAAACGTATTTGTATAAGTATCATGTATTACCTTTCTCATAAAATCCATACTTCATAAAAATAAGTTCTTATGTACATGTTACTCATGAGTCGCTTTAGATGGTTTGAACTGAATCTTTGGGTTTTGAGTTCTTTATGGCTATAAAGCGATGTATAAATTCCTACTTATTATTATTATTATTATGTACGATCTGATGGACAAAATATATATGAGTAAATCTAAGTCTTATAAACCAGGAATCATCTTTCTTGATCTTAAGAAGGCCTTTGACACAGTGAATCATGAAATATTGCTTCAAAAATTGGCATATTAAGGAATTGGTGGCATTGCTTTAACCTGGTTTAAGAACTTCTTATCTTGTAGATATCAATGCACTAGGATCAATGGCAAACTAAGTTCATTTTTAGGAGTTCTGAGTGGTGTACCACAAGGAAGCATCATTGGGCCTATATTATTTAGTATCTTCATAAATGACATCATTTATGCCTGCAACCTATCTAAGCCCTTTCTATTTGCAGATGATGGTGCACTATTCTTTGATCAAACCTGCAGAAGCACATTTATAAACATGAAAATAGAACTTATGACAATCTTTAAATGGCTCAGTGTAAATAAATTATCACTCAATGAAAAGAAGACTGAATTCCTATTGTTTGATTCTGTTGATCAACATGATGAATTAACCATTGAATGTAATGAGGTAACTTTCACAATCAAGGAGTGCAAAGAGACAAAATATCTTGGCCTAATTCTAGATAGTAAATTAAACTTCAAAAGCCATGTAGATTATATTATTAAGAAGGTCATGAAGAGAATTGGTGCCATGTATAGAAGTAAAGCACTGCTACCCATTAAATATAGGAAAATGTTTGCCAATGCACTCATGTTGCCACAATTCGATTACTTAGACACGATCTAAGAGCTGGTGACCTAGTGAAAGTGCTGGTGACGATGAGAAAGACCATAAACCAGGGATTCCTTCGGGAGCATGTAAGATTATATCCAAAGTTTGTTCGCCAATGGGGTGTGTCTGGGTGTCAAAGATCTTCAAGGTGGGTGCTACTTGTGATGAACTCTAGAAGGATGGGATGGTAATACTCGGTCTGGCCGTCTGGAAGCCCATAGAATTCCAGTTCAGAAACCGAGTAAGGAGGTGCGGCTACTGATGAGAAGCCTCCTTAAAGTTTATTTGGGTTAGAAACGACATCTGGGTCCCTACCCTCGCACAAGATTATTCTCAATTTTCTTGTTGTGTCCACAACTAGAGCTGGCAAGACAAAACTTGCTGAACTTGACACTCTGTACAAAAAGGTAGCCAAAATAGCTCTCAACGTTCCACAAACAGAGAGCAGCCTTAATGTTTATAGAGACATGAAATGGTTACCACTCCATCTTAGACGACAACTCCATCTGTCAAATTATATGTTTAGAATCATCCATGACAATTGTCCTACAAACTTTATGAACAAATTTAGTTACATATCAGGAGGTAGTAGGAGCGGCGAAAGCTGCAACCTATATGTTAATAGATCAACATCACATAAAAACTTTCAATACTTGGGGGCAAAATGTTGGAATAATGTTCCAACAGATCTACGAAATCTGCCCGATGTTAAAAGCTTTAGTGATTCGTATAAGAAACAGCTACTCTCATCTATAACAACAGACCCTAATTATACCGTTGACAATTCATATGACAAATTTTACACTGCAATCATAGTCGACGATAACTAAGTATCTTCTAATTCTTTTAATTCTTTTAAATCTGAGGCATATATAATTGATGTATCGAAAGGATTTTCCCTTTTTTACCACCTTACCATTTTGATTGATTTTGCACATGACTGACATGTTTTAACTGGAGAAAGGATTCGCACAGTGGTAGTTTTATAAACCACTTTTAATTTATTGACCTATTATACCTAGTGGTAGTTTTATAGACCACATTTAATCTATTAACTTATCATACTTAGTATTTATTTTTGGTGACTGTATCACCCAGTTTTAACATTTGATAATTGTACAGTTTATTGACGACACATTGACTGAATGTTATTTTATATTCTAATTTATATTCTAGATATTTTATTTATTTTTCAACAGACGACAACTTCCTGTTTTTTCTTCTATATTAGTTACTCATATCTCTTTTACAGACTTTTTTACAAGGCATTGACAGATGATACTCACATTAGGCATTCATTATTGCATCTAAATTATTTCACTTGCATTAGGTTTAGAAATGTATTCTCTGGTTAACAGATTTCAAATGTTTAATTAATTTGTAGTATGACAGTAAGGTATATAAGAAGTTATTTAATTTTGCTTGGGCTATTATATTGACTATTGAGGTTTAATGATGATATGGAATTTGAATTCTATATATAAATTTACACTATGTGGTTGGGGCATTTTGCATAGTAAATATGGTTACTACTCCTATATATCATATTATTTGATTGGTATTCGATTTCTGATTATTTCTCTAGGAATATGATTATTATATCTCAATTTGGCTTTAGGTAGGGTGCCCCGCTAAAAGAACTGGATTCTTCCAGGAAGCATCCCGTGCACAGACCTTGGTCTACATATATATTAAATTATTAACCATTCATTCTG